CAGAATTCTCTGTTGGTAGTGTGCAATGTGCCTTTAAGTCATATAGGTATTATTCTTACAGAATTCTGCTGGTTGTTCTTGGGAGAATTCTGCCACCCCTCCTTCGTCATATAGCATATGTCCAGAGGTTAGTCAATATGTTATTTTATTTTCCACATGTGTGAATAATACTGTGCCGAAATGGTTTTTCAAATATTTACGCATGATTAGCAATAATACCTCTTCAAACGCATTCTTTTAGTAAAAATATCGATACAAATGAAAAACTTTTCTGACTTTCTTTTTTTCTGGTCTTTTTAGTATCAAGATAGAACTTAGGTGCGCTCAGATGTTTCAGCAAAAGGGTTTCAATTTAAGTACACATCTAGAATGAAACAAGAATCACACCAACTGCAGTCAATTTCAGTAAAAAACAGATGCCTTGAGCTATGTACGACTAAAAAATTGCAACTCAAATCAAACATAGGAGGATATTCGCGTAATGTGTACACATTATCCATATGTCTTGGTTTAATTAATTGAGTTTAAATATTAACGGGGAACTGTATGTCTTCAGTCACTTTGATGTGCAAAAGTATAGAAAGGAGTAGATGGAGTCAATTGATACAGAACTAAATTTTTAATTCCTTTCACTGTATGATAAAAAGGCAGGAATAAAAGGCACGCTTTAATTGGGAATGGAGTCCGCTAACAGACAACTGGCTATGCGGACCAGCACTCTATCTACTGAACTATCGAAGTACGATGAGCATGTCTTGTATTTCTGCTTATTCGTCTAAAAATCAAAGGAAACAAACTTCAGTATTGCATAAATATGCCTGAGTAACTTCGCAAGAAAAGTTCAAATTTGCAAAAAAAATTTGCTCTCTTGCCGAAACAGGTAAGTAGTAGAAGTATGACAGTTCCGTTTTAGTTCCTATCAAACGAACTGTTCAAGTAGATCAGATCAGATCCCATAAGAGACGTCTATATCGATATAGGCATCATCCTAGTGTAGATCTGAGAACTGTTATGCCTCTGGTAAGTAGCAAACCATAAACTGCATGCAAGCAGCAAATTTGAAGAGATAATATGTCAAAGGTAAAATAAACTCTATGTTAATTATGATTTCATGAATGTAACAACATATTCCTGAAAAATAAGAAAAAAGCAAATCATAAAATTTCTATCTGGATTGTAACTGCAGCTCAGATATAGAAGATTCTAACAGAAGTCTGAACAATATTCATCGAATTCAATAGATTATTCCATTCCTAATTGAAATTTTCGGCTGTTGAATAACGACTGAAGTAATAAAAACCGGAGCAAATGTGCAGCCTTGCTCTGGTTTTCATCACATAGGATAGGATGCTACCATATCTTTAATTTATAAAACAGATATGAATGAAAGCTATATAATTATAGAATGAATATAAATAAATCTGCAGTATCATGGTTGGCAACAGTCCCCTGCTCGTCCTTTATCCCTTTCTATGACATTGATGAGGTACAGCTCCTGCAAGAGCACCCCGAAACATTTTTATTTATGAGTCCAAGTCCAAGCGCATAAATGTTCTATGAACTCGGCGTAATCGTCTTAATGGGCAATCTTAAATTGGGCAAAAAATCTTTCTATTCTTGCCATATGAATTCCACGTACGTTAATGAAATCAATTTACCCACTGGTTGTTCTCTCCTGTATCTTCTTCTTTCGACCGCGTGAAATGGCATGGTCGTGGTCTTCTTCTCTTCGTTACGTTACTTAATTTTTTCATATTGTTATCGTTCTTTATCTTTATCTTTATCTTTATCTTTTTCTTTTTCATTTCTTTTTCCCTTTCACTGTTTCATCTTCTCCTCATTAACATTGTACTGCAAGGATCAATTCGATCACAGTGTCAGCAAAATATTAAAAAAAAATATAAATAAATCCTTTATTTTCGATAAGTATAATTCAACGAATAAATCTTCATCATTGATAAAATAGAGATTAACGAATTCTTTATTTCCAAAAATAAATATGACAGAAAAAGTTTTTTCTATCATTGGAAAATAGACAAATACCAAGTACAACAACAGGATATCTTAATGGATATGATTTTATCTCAGTAAAATCTCTTCAACGTGTGATACTATTAAAAAATAAAGCTAATGTATGAAAAATATGCGCAAGAACTGTTCTACACACTATATTTCTGTCGATAGAAGCATACTTTTTTGCGTGCTACTTGATAGCAAGTAAATATTTCGTTCTGAAAGAAAAAGAAATTCTTTACTACTTATTTTATCTTTATTTGATAAAGAAAAATTCTTTATCATTATTTTATAAATATAAAGAATTCATTTATCTTTATTTTGTTTTTGGAATAAAGATTTTCTTTATGTTTATTTTACAAATATAAACATTCTATCCAACAGTATTTGTTAAATAATAAAGATGTATTTATTTCTTTATTTTAATTATATAAAGATAAAGATTCTATTTCTATTTATTCTTTATTATAAAGCGAAGTAAGAATAAAGCAATACTAGTACTTGTGAGTAAGATTATATTAATTATATAGTTCTTACACTTAAATTAAAATTATTTCTTTTCTTTTCGTCAACGATGCTAGCTTTATAAAATTATTGCACATAGGTTAAATGTACTTGTTCCAACTTTAACGCGCATAAAATAATCTGATGATTCTAACATCATTGCTGAAACGTCGCTAGATGAAAAAGAAACCATCGAAAAATAAAGAGAAGTAATTTTAATTTAATTTTAACCATGAAAACATGAAAAAAATCACACTACACGCTATCCTGCAAAAACGCTTTGAGGGCGAAGAAAAGACTAATATACCATTTCGATCACAAAATTGATAAACAATTGCTACCTGCACGAGGAGAAACTAATCTAGTACCATGATAAATGCTCTACATTGTTCGACTAGAACATCGATAAATGAATATAATTGTTAATGTAGGTTTAAAAATCAATTCTTGAAAAAAGGAACTTTTCATGCAGAAATCTGAAAAGCTGTAGAGGAAATTGCTGAAACTCTTCTATCGTCAAGAAGAGAAGTATTTCAAGTACGACAAAAAAGGTTTAACATCATTCTCATAGTACTAGGAAAACACCATAAAAACTTTTCTAGTGAGTAGTATGATTGTAGTGTAAACATACTTTTTCTAGTAGAAATACGAAATTTTCTGATAGAAATCAATATCTAACTTTAATCTTCATAAAGACAATTGATAGCGATATCATAAATGCAATGATTAATACTATTTTGACAATATAGAAAAAAATGAAGGAAGTATGAGCTTACTATCGGCTGCTGTTGTAGAGAAAATCGATTGTTTCATGCAGAAATTTGAAATTTTTCATTGGGTATTATAAAACTAGTGTCACTCTTCAGTAAAAGAAATGAACCATGCACAAAAAATCTATTGACATAATTCCAACGTTGAAAGAAGAAATGAAAAACAAATTGTACGCACAGATTTTAGCCCCAGAGAAAATGCAATTTCATCGACAGAAATGCAATATTGTTTTTTAGAGAGCGTTAAAAACATCTTTCTTCCTTCATAATAAGAAAAATATCAGGTTACAAGAGAAACGATTCATATTATTCACACAGTAGAAGCGGTATTCGCGACATGGGTATGATACACTGCGGAAGAAATATAATTCTTAAAGAGCGTTAAAAACATCTTTCTTCCTTCATGATAAAAAAAAAATATCAAATTTTATCAGAGCGAATTCACATGAGCAATATTTATTTAGTCATTCACCAGAAATAAATAAATCATGAAATGTCTATGATAGCATTAGTCAACATAGTATTTTCTTCATTCTTCAGTTGCCGAATCAGAATCTAAATTAGTTGGCATAGGATCATCGTTCATGTTACCATCTCCATCAATACTTGTGCAATACGTGATAGCATAATTCAAACGATCATACATGATATCGATTGTTGAATATTCAGGTAAATCAAGAACAAAAGTACATGTATGAGCTCCTAAACTTGTAATAGAAATCGATATATCTTAAAAATTAATCTATTAAAAGACTAACTTGGAAGTGCTCCATCGACTAATTCAGCAGACAAAGTGTATGGTACAATTTGAAATTTACTTCCAAAATCATCATCACAACTTGGTAATGTACATCGTCCCCAAACAAATTTTAAAAACAATTTCTTCTGTTCTTCATTGAATATCTCCCGTAGGATTTTCCACAATCGTTGAATACAAGGTGTCTCTTGATTATAGTGACCACCATAGCCAGTGTTTCTTTTCAATAATTCTACATCCATTTCTCCTTTTCCACATACGATTTCTTCAAGTTCACATGCTGTAAACAAACCTAAGAAATAACCTGGAACAATACTATATAAACCTTGACGAATACATTCAATTTGTCTATTAAATTCATTTAGACGATATTCACGATAACTTATACAATAATCTTTGAGATTCGAAACTGTTATTGGAATATTTTTACCATTTGGCACAAGTTCATATGTTTGTCCATTTGAGCTAACAACTTCATATCGAAGTTCATCTAAAATACTACTAAGTAATTCATTCGTTTCACTGGATGAATCATTTTCTTTTATAGACCTTTCCATTTCATTAATCATTGTAAAACTTTGTATATCAATATTTTCAATATCTTCTGCAGTTATTTGTTCTCGAACTAATTGCTTCCATAATAGATTAGGAAATTTTAAATTTAAATAATGTTTCCTTCGTATTGCCATGCCCATTAGTTGTCCAATAAATCGATATTGTTTTCTGATTCGATTCGGAAGCGGTTCGTTCGGTGGAGTTGCTTTTGGAATCCAACGATCATCGTTACAACCACTATTGGTTCGTCCATTTGGACACAGGATGAACAATGATAACTGTGTACTACATATATCAGCACAAATACATGTTACAGAGTCACGAAATGGTCCGCCTTGATCAGTACTATGCATAGCAAGATATTGTGCACGCCATACTTGATCATTTTCTTTGCGAAACGTTGTATGCGCAATAGTATGCAGCTGTTCATACGCTTGTTGAAACATTGTGCGTTTATTAGTATTTGCTTGAACTGTATCGAAATTAACTGTGTGTATGTCAGTATTCGCTTCCTCTACACTTAATGTTACAGCAGTGTTGAATAGCTTTGATTTTGTTTCATATAATATATAGGATTTTACTTTTTGAATTTTATCTGTGAAAATACTCTGTCCAGGAAAGAGACTAAAATCAATAAATGAAACAAGTTGTTCTACGAGTAAATTAAATTGGTAGATAAGTTTTGCACGAATCTGTATACAAATAGCTGGAATATGCCATAACGATGGATAATTTTTATAATACAATGTATTTGGTGTGGGCTCCGTAGGTAAACTACTTATAAATTCGATGAAAGATATTTTTAAAAGTTGATTATTATTCATAAAATGAATTAATTGTAAATCAGATTTTGTATCAAAATGTTTATTTGATTGTTCGATGTCAACACTAGTAAATTGATGATTTTCACCTAATAAAATAATCGACTGTATGATGAATAATTCGGGAAAAAGCGTCTGCTTGTTTTTATCGGTCAAAGCGTTAATAACATCAACGATTATTAGCAAATCATGAAAACTTTGTGGTAATGCAGATATTTGATTGGTTAGCTCTGTTGATACGGATTGAGATTTCTGTTTTTCAGTTAATAGAAAAACAAAATCCATAATAGCTACTTGAAATGTTCTCATTATTTGAGTAATTATTGAAGTTGAATTCGGTTGTAATTCAGTAAATAAACGAAAGAAAAACTGTTGAATAGTTGTGCTTAAATTAAAATGGTCACTTGCTTGAATTAGACTAAAAAGAAAGGCAACTAGTGTTTTTAATATCCGACAAGTTGGACATCAGTAACAGTCTGATAAGCAAGTTCACGGATTTCAAAACAAGATCAAAGAAATTAGAAAGTCACAATCTATGCGACTCTAGCTGACTATCAATTGAGCACTCGACAACTCTATGAATGTTGTACTGGTTATGTTGTAATATGCACTAACCCGAATACAATTATAATCAGTGTTTATCGGAAGCTCATTAGTCAGTAGCTACTAAAATTCTATATAATATGTCAGTACAAAACGTTGAATGCATCATTAGAATAATATTATTTAGTAGAAACAAAAAATGAAGATTGAACTTACGTAGAAAATAAACGAAGAATAATAATTTTATTTTCATGTTTAGGATTAATTAGAAATAGATTGAATAATACATTGATTAGAGATTCTGGAAAAATTAATGGTATTAATAGATCAATGTCTACTTGTTTTATTGTAGATTTTTCTGAAATTAATTTCACAAATAAATGAACTAATTTTAAAATGAAATTTAAATTTGGTTTTTCAACTTCATATTCATTATTATACTTCGAGTTTAATAATGATGGATTAATAAAAAATCTCATCGATTGAATCATAATGTCTTTTTGTAGATGATAAAGTAATTGAGCTTTTGATTGTAAAATATCATAAGAAATTCTATTCTTTTTTATTCTACAATATTTAATTAATTCATTTAATTCAATTTTAAGAATTGAATTAATCAATAAACTCATTCTATCAATAGCTTCATCTGTATGTAAACGTGTATATCTATAATGATAATCTAATAATCTTAATAATTTTACTATAAATGTACAATCACCGAATTTTTCCAACGGAAATAAACTTGATCCATCATAAGACCAAACTCTTAGAATATTTAAAATTGTATAATGTGCATAAATCGAAATTAATCCATATTCACAAGCGAGACGACATTCGTGATAGTTCTCTTCTGTTAAATCTCGATGATTATATTCGGTTTTTTTCAATTGATCCGTTGGAATATTTGTTTGCTCTTGAGTATTAGATTGATCTAAGTCAAATAAATGATAAGTAAGATCGAATTGTTCGACGGTTTTCGATCGATCACGAATCCATTCGGTTAGATTATCATCGATATTCAAATAATTAACAGTTTGTTGAAACCAACTTTTATCGGTTGTTAATGATGATACTATATGAATGTCATGCCAGTGATTGAGTAAAATTTCAGCAAGATTCGGTAGCTTTTCTTCCGTATCGTAATTAGAAAAATCAATTAAATCTTTTAATTTTTCTCTACTAATTGAAAATCCAATTTTTGATAAAAGATTTTCATTGTATTGATTAAATTTGTTCTCACGTAAAATTGTAGCAATCAATTGAATATTTCTAGTTGTTGTTAGTTTCATGGCGAGTTTTATCAATGATTCATCATATCCAATATGGATTAAACTTGGAGAAATAATTGAATATGGATATGCGACTACATGTTCTAATGAATAATTTGGCGATGCTAGTTTCTCATCGATATCGTTCAATGCTTTGTTTAGATAAGCGATTGATTTACATTCAATACGAAGTTGATCTTCATTCATTGAATTTTTTGTTAAATCTGATTGGTGAAAGAGATCAATATGTTTATTTGTTATTGTCAATAGATTCTTGTCGAGATTTGTATTGAATTCCATTGATCCATTGACGTAGATTTTAATAGATTGATTTTGTACTGAAATAACTAATCGTATATACTCATTTAATTTAATTTTTATCCCATTTTGAATAGCTCTTTCATTAGCGATCGATAGACAAATTTGGCCATCAGGTGTTATACATATTTCTGTTTGTGTATTTAATTTTACTATTGCTACAGGAAAAGAATTGATCGATAGATCGAAAATCAACGTATATTCAGACCATGGATTAATTGATTTATTTAAAACAAGATAACTTTTATTTCCGAATAATTGCATATTTCCATGATTTGGATTGAAGTATTTTGATTCATCTTCATCGGATTCGATTTTCTTTTTCTCCCATTTCATCTCATCGAAGGATTCATTCAATGGAACGAGTAAATCGTTTTCGAAATATTGTTGTTTTTTAGTAAATGTCAATAGATTTACTTGTTTTTTATATTCATTCAATTTATGATAGTCAGCAGCAATATAGGATAGGCCAGAAGTAAACAAACGTTGAATATGTTCTTCAGATAATTCATATTTCCAAATTGCAAGATTTCGCATTCCAACAGCAACTGATGGTAAAACATGCAAATAAAATTGTGTCATTATAGGACATTCAGATATTCGACATTCATTATTAACATAGACTTTTATTTTTCGTTCATTGGTTTGACGTACAATAGCAATTTGTGTGTTAGTTGTAACTTTATTGACTGGTATTCGTATGGAATAGGTATCGAATGTTAATAATGGAATATCAAGATAATCATTTGTAGTCTTTAAAACAGAAAAGTCGAAACTAATAGACCATGAATGATGATCATCTATTGTTAGTGGAAATCCTTGATCTTGTTCGGATAATATCAATTGATGTTTATCTACTAAAAATTTACTTTCAAGATGATCGCCATTAATAAAATCACATAAAAATCGAGTTGACTTATTATTTCGTTTATGAATAAAATAATCTTCAATGTTATTTCCAATTAAATAAGCATTACATGGATAAGGAACAAATGAATCATCAATATCTACAAGAGTCGGAACTAGTAATGGTTTGTAGCCTTCAGGTAATGGACATTCGAACATATCCATTGGATGAAATATAAATTCACAGCCACTTAAAATTGCTGCATCGTCTACTTTTAAAGTTACGCCAGGAAAATAACTTGTTTGATTTCCATTCGGTAACATATTACATAATGTCGATGTTGTGGAATAAATTGGCCTATTATGTTCAAAAGCTGTGCCTAAAAAGAGTCCGTTTAACCAATAATTAATTCGTATTCGACCGCCATTAATTTCAATACCACAACCACAAACATCATTTGTACTCCAACGAATATTTCCTAAATGAAATGGATATTGTTCATTGTTATAAATCATTCCTTGTGAGCCATCGTATGACCAAGAATATTGATCATGACCTATGCCTATGGATTCACTAGGTTGAAAACCATTTGTTATCCATCCAATACGAGCAAATGTTGATTCTAATAGTCGAACACAAAAATACCAATTGCCTTGAGTTAATTGTAAATTTTCAACAATAAATGTTCCAAACGATATATTAGAACTTTCCGATACTAAATAAATTTTCCCTGGTAAGCGATGTTCTATACCACATTCTTCAACAAACCATTTACCAGCAAGTTGAGACGATAATTCTACGATTTTAATTTCATCATTTCCACTTCGACCTTGTTTAAACGATTGCAGATCTCGTTTTGACATAAATGATTTCCATTCATTTGTTGCTGTGAAATCATTGTTCAATGAATTTATTTTAAAAGGCATCTTTGTCCATATAATAAATTCATCATTCACAATTTTATTTTTATCAGGAATAATTTTTCTCAATGGTTGACAACGATCTAAACTTAAACAATATTGTTCTCGTTGATGTTTATTTAATAAATGAAAATCTATTGTTTGCTGTTTTGTTTTTAATAATTCAGCTATGATTGATAAGTATGGTTTTTGTATAAAAATATCGACAAGATCTTTATGATTTAATATGCGATATAGAACAGCGATTGATCGACGTTTCAATTGTAATAAGAGTATAGAATCCATTGTTGATTGATCATACTGAATGAAATATCCTAACGCATCAAATAATAAATCGATAAATTCATTCACATTCGGTAGCTCAAGAAGATTTGGTGGTAAGACAGTCAATTCAACTTTTAATTTGTCTGCATGCATCCATTGAGTTTTATTTGTATCGATATATTGCACAAGATAGGGTTGTACATCAGCGGTGTTCAAAGCGCGAGCATCTCGATTAATATCGATAATCACTCCCAATTGAGTTTCATCAGTATCATGAATTTCTACGATTGAACCTAAACAAAACGGATGGATGTATCCTCCTAATATACACAACGATGCAAGAATATTATCGATGGACTCGAACGATTTGAAATTAGTTGTAATCTTATTGAATACAAATTCAATACTCGTCATTTGCCAGGGTGATTCAAAAGACATCATAGTTCGATATACGTAAATTAATTCGCTTGTTATATCTGGTGTTGTCTTACCGATTGAAAATAAAATGTTGCTTAAAAAATTATTCACCATCGATTTTATTTGTTCATTCGCATCTTCAGATAAAAATATTATTATTCTACGAAGAATTTTCAGACAAAGTAAACAAGTTATTTGACTATCACTATGTTCATAGATGTAGATAAGTTCTTCAATAAATTTACCAGTTGCACAGTATGATTGAACATGTTCATAAGACTGAATATGTCGCAATAGAATCATTAAATATTGACTGATGTAAAGATTAATTTCGAATTCCGATGATAAATTATTTGTGTCGTTTGCTTTTGTAAACCATTCAATCGTAACATTGTTAAATGAATATTTTTCATCCAGAGATTTGTTTTCAGTCTTAATTGGAGACGATTGTCTCAATACGCTTAATTCATTGAGAATTATTTTATCAAAAATTAATTCTTGAATTTGTTTTAACGTTGAATTTGGTTCAATTGGAAAATTTTCACAGAATTTGAATACGTACAATCGAAACCAAGTGTAACAAATAAATTTTATGTCAAGATTCAAATGCATATATGTATTATATAAAATTGTAAGAAAGTCGTCTTTATATAAATAATAAATATCAATGAGTTCGTATGATAAATTAAGTAAATAAAACATATTCTGTATTAATACCATTTGATTCTTGTCTTGTAATTGGGATAAATACGAAAAAATTTGTTTAATAATCAAATGATAATTTCGACTAAGACCTTCTTTTAATTGCATATTTATTGCTGATATATTTTCTAAATATGACCATTCAATAGTTGTTTGTCTTAAATGTGGTAAATAGATTCTTAAATAGGTAAGGATTTGTGTTTTATCATTAAAATCAAGTACATTTTGTATGAATTTATGACTAAATTGATACATAATTAATCTCATCATCGCACGTTCATATTGTCTTGACATGCATTGGATGAGTTCATATGGTTCGAATTTTTTTTCATTAAATATAAAATTATCAATAGTTCGCCTAAGAACACTTTCACTCTTTTGTTTTTCTTCGGCGATCTCCTTTTTTACTATCATTAATTTCTTGAAACGTGTGCAAGCTTGAAATACATTACGTATCAATCGAAAATCATGTTTTGTTATTGGTCGTCGTGTATTTTGACGTCTAAAAATAGGTTTACTTATGTGTTCATCGGATACACATTCAATTATTGGAATTAAATTATTCTCTTTAACAGACGTTAAAAGAAATAGTGTATTCGCTTTAATTTGTTGATAAAGTTCATCACAATTTCCACCTTGTCCTTTTGTTCGAGCAAATAAGGAATAGACATGAGTTGCATATTCAAAAATCGATAGCAGTTTTTTGTTTGCTTTTTTATCATCCGTTCGATTAAGTTCATATTTAGCTAAATTAATTCGACGATAAAATTTTAAATAAACAGCAAATACAGCTGCACATGAATGATTAGCTTGTTGCTCAGTCGATTTTTGTAAAAGATATTGTTTATCTTTGATAGAAGTTTTTATTTTCGATATGAGCTGAGCACCTTGATCAATATTATTATAAACTGACATTAAAAATTCTTGATCGGATGATGACTGTTCAAAATTAAAATCACTTGTTTTCAATTGAATATAGCTGGCAATGTTCGATTCAAATAAACTCGATAGATACTGATTACTTTCGTTAGTTAATCGTTCGCATCCACCGGTGAAGAGAGGTGATTGTAATTTTTCGGCATATTTTATTTCTAATGCATCAGTTTGTGAACCGATTATCATCGTAGAAGTAATTTTACCTAATAGCCAATAGATATAATGAAGATTTTGAGCTACTGGAGCTTCATTGGTTGAATTCTTTAATGTAAATTCTACGAGTAATGGCAAAACATTTGAAACCACGATTTGAATTGTTGTAAAATTAAAATGTGGTTCTTTCATTAGAGCAAGACTGATAAGTATTGGATTCAATAAATCATTGGTTGTTTCAAGTTTACGATTGAAATTCTTCAATATATATGAAATGTATTTATTTGCAAGAGAATATGTTGATGATAATTGCATGAAAACGATTCGTTGAAATCTCTGTATGATTTGTTGAATTAAATTTAGTATTTTTGGTTTCATTTCATTTGAAGGATTAAAATAAATATCCAAAAATAAATAGAGAATATTAAATGCAATTCTATTGTCTAATCTATTGTCACATAAGACTTCAATCCAAGTGAGTAATACTGTATTAGTATTAAACTCTGTCAAAAAATCTCGTATTAATATATAATGTTTATTTTCAATAATATATTGATGAATAAAAGATAATTTTTCTGTAAACGACGATACTTTTCCATTGAGAATTTGAATAAAACATTTTGATGCTAGACTGCAAGTGATCATTTGTTCTGATTTTTCATATTCTCGACAAGCCAACATTAATAAAGTATCAGACCATAATTGTAAATCATCATTGGATATATTAAAATCACTTACATTTATTTCTTGATTCACATCATCGTTTCGAATTCTATTATTATTCGTTAATAGAAATCTATACGATGGATTTGTTGTTATTGCAAAGAGAAATTTTAAATGCACTGCAAACAATCTCAAGCATATAATTAATATGTAATTAAGATTTATATTGAAATCTTTTGTGGGTACTGCAGTCAATTTTTTGATAATATCGAATAATTGTTTATATGTATCTGGATGAAATTCAAACGACATAGAACTAGATGTTGAACCAGAATTAAATTGTTTATTTGTATTGACCCTATTATGAAAATCGATGTGTGTAAATATAAATAATGAAACAAATTGCCCTGTGAATTGTTTAGCGGGCATATTTTTAAGACGAGTATTTGGAAATCCTCCGATTGAATGCAACTGTTCTAGTAGCTTAGCATCTGAAACGTTTCGAAAATTAGTAAAATTTTATTCATTGAACATATTTTAATCTAACCTATTGTTGGTTTGTTGTTGATTTTGATTTGTTGCTTTTCCCATTCATCACGAATTATAATAAAATGATCATTGAATTGTGGTAAAATCTTGTGTAAATCATAGGTTTTATGTGTATCAAATAGAAGTTCACTTAGAATGGATAGAATATGTTTAAATGATGTCTTGGAAAATAATAAATTATGTAAAATTTTTTCTAGTTGTTTGTCGGTACTATGATTGTTTGATGCATGTTCTTTAATTGATTTGAATAGAGTAGATATTCTCGATGCAAACGAAGACTCTGTTCGATCGATTTTGAGTGTATTGAAAAGGGATGCTATTATTTTTTCTCGTATTTCAAAATTATTGTTTATTTCTTGAATTATTTGTTGATAGTCGTTGCTCATAGATAGAAATATAGTATCCACTTGATTATTTACTGCTTCGAACTCGGGTATATTAGTTAAAAGATTTAAATAATTTTGAATTTGGTTTGCCCCTTGTTTTGATATTTGATATTTCCCACTAGTTGTGTCCGTTGGAATATCCGACGATAAAAATAATCTCACATCTTCTGGACCGACAGTTGCTACGACGCTAGCTGGACTTCGAATTAGAATATTTGATTCAAGCAAATTAATTATTTGTGAATTAATGCTAGACACATGTTGACCCATTTGAAATTTACAGATCTAAAAATCGTAAAAGCATAGTAAACAATTTTAGATTCGGGTGAATTTTTTTGTTGCATCGTGGCTTCAAAATTTGGTTTTTCTCTTCATTTAGACGTGCAAGAAAAAACAAACCTGTATTGATCTGGTTGACGGTGAAAACGAGAGAAAATTGTGTATAGGTCTTGATTTTTTTCTTTCTTTCTTCGCATTTTGCTACTTCCAAGGTCAACGTGTGCTTGCTGCATTTAAAAGCAATTATTCATTTGCTTAAGAAATTCATCCTTTTTTCAGTGTTGAGAAAGAGAATTGCAGCCATGAATTTGCTAACAACCTAATAAGAGAGATCAGTAATAATGGATTGTATGCAGTCATGAAAATTTCGATAAATTGAGTGAACAAAATCTATTTAACTCAGATCGATTACGATACGGCAAGTGTGAATTAACAGAGAATGTGCAGACTTGTGACTTTGGGTGCCATCATTTGGTATTGGAGGTATTCGAACATGTGATTCATAATGTGATGGAATAGATTTTTCAAGAAAATTCGTCACCCTTACAATTTTCAGAATGATGATGCGATAAAAATGAGAGTTAACGTAGTTAGAGTATAGCGAGTTAGTTACCATATTTTTCTTTGATCTGATTGTTTTATATTCAAATATTTCTATTCTTAAAATGTAATAAAAGCATAAGAAAACAATAGTTCAACTAAGTCGTTGCCAACTCATTAGATTACGCGCAAGCTAATCGAACTTGTTTAACAATTGCTCATCATGTGTCAATGACTTGGCAGAAATCAGAAAAAATCTAGAAGGCAAATAATAACGATTTTTCATTTCTTTTTGATCACTTTCATCATTATGTCAGAAATGCAAAATATTACACTATACCAGAAGGAACTGATCGAAGATTTAGATGACTCATTTAAAAATTTTCTTGATTTAAAAAATAATGATCGAGAGAGAGAGAGAAGATATCTTCTGTGCAAAACCTAGAAACTATTTCGCTGAACAACATTCACGATAACGGTTTACTCTCACCCTCAAATCTATTGACATCTTCATCGTCTATGAGACATGCAAACAGGATAGGTATTGAAATAGACGAACAGTCGTCAAACACAAAATGGTAGAGCTTCTAAAGTAAGCATAATCTGCACCTGTTATTTTGCTTTCATTTGACAACATATTTGCTTGTCGTTTGAAGTAAACTTCCATAAACATACGTTGAATGCTTCGTGCGTTCTTACAATCCGAAAATATAATACACCCTTGATAGAAAAATAAGGTAAAACATTAATTTTTAGTTTCAAATTTGTTCTACTATTTGTGTTTTGTCGATGTTATATTTTATCTAGTAGCCATTAAATGGTGTCATTTTGATAATTTTTACTACAGGAGAGAGTTGCTTTCGAAGAACAATCCAGTGGAGCGAAGTTGAGGATGTCAGCGATTGAGAGTGTGCGAGGAGTCTCTGAGAAAACAAAAATAAACAGATATCATGCATCCAAAAACTTTGATATTGATAAGAATTGCATTGAAATAAAGAGTGCTAGAATAAGAACAATCGAATCGATAGAAGGAGCTGATCAGGAATTCGAAATTCACATTCTACTTTTGCACAGATTTTATATCTTAAGAATATGCGTGTTAAATATCATGCACAGAAAATTAGAATAAAGCGTAAGCAAATCTTGTTATTTGAGAAAATTAAAAAGTCAAAACATACACACACAAGTCGATTAACTGGTCAAGATTTTTCTATTAGTTTGCTTTTTGTGTACTCAAAAAGAAAACGAGTACACTATAGAATCGGTCAGTGCGTCCGTCCGTCCGTTTATTCGATAACTCTTCACAATTACATTCGATTGAGCTGAAATTTTGTGCACAAAATTATCTCATCAATATCTAGGTCGAGTTCGAAGATGAGAAGGATACGTTAAGAAATGGCTGAGTTATCGAAAAAATTGTCATGTTTGATCAGACCATCCCTGAGGGGGAGTGCAGGGATTTTTCAAAAAAAAAATGTTTTTCTCAGAATTATCCACAACATATATAAATCGACTCAGTTTTTAACGCTGATTCCAAATCTGATATTAGTTTTGAACTAAACCGTAGCTTTCTAACGAAACATCGCCTGAAAAACGTCTCAAAATTCACAAAAATTGCATCCAGAAATTAAATTGCCTAGTTTCTCATGATAATTGTCGTGTTCCGACATTCTATAATGACTCATATGTCCCATGCACTTTTTGCAGTACACATAACCCTCGGATGAAATCCGACGTTTCCACATTTTTCTACATTTATTATTAAGCGCTTTTAGTACCAATCGTCAACATACACTCATGTATAATAATAATCGATTTTTGGACGTTGCTGAAGAACCTAAGAAAATACTTTTGCCTCTAGAAAGCTATGAAAAAATGCCTAGTGTTACATAGGAAGAAACCGTCGAATCGCTGATGAAAATTTTTCCCAATATATTGAGTCAAAAGTTTATGATACACAATTTAATTGTGAAAATCTCACAGACAGACTGGTTTTAAATCAATCGTTAGCTGCAATGTTATACACTATGGTAAGTTCTTCGAATGATCAACCATTGTTGTATGAGGTTCTAAATTCAACTCTTCGCTCAGTTAAACCGGAAATAGTCGATCAACTTAAACTTTGATGTCTTTATTTGAAACTATTCATTGATGCTCTTACTCATCTACCTTCGTATCGCGAAATTGTTTATCGAAGCGTAACAAAAAATCTACGCGATCACTATGCGCTTTGCAAGAAATTCGTCTGGTGGAGTTTTTCTTCATGTACAAAATCACTTACTGCTCTTCAATCAACAAAAAATTTCAGGAAATACAGAAATGGGAACTTTATTCATTATTGAATGTTTCTCAGGAAAAGAGACTCATCAATATATTTTGTTTGCGATGATCTACTGTACAGTGTGACACGAGAAAAAGACACTGTGAATGATCACGCAGCAGAAAAGATTCCATCCGAAACGAAAATATCTGGCGATCTGATGCAGATATCGAAGAGAGAACGGAATCTAGATTTCACGAAGAAGTTAGTTCAATTCATGTATCTTCTCCAACTTTTATAAATTCATCAGCATCTGCAACGACTCATGAAAGTCAACTAGGCAGCGGAATTGCCGAAAGTTCACATACGACTAAAAACTCAAATTTGAGTAGTTCGATCAATTTCCGTAAAAAATTTAATACTGGATTAGATACAGAGAAAAACAATAAAATTAGCTGTAATTCTTGCAAACTATACAGGTAAAATGGTTTCATTAGAAACAATTTACTTGTTCAATGATAATTAAAAAGATGAAGGCTTACATTACATATTTTAAGCTATAGCCAATCAACCTCTTCGAAAATTATTTGTTACTAATAACAAAATAACCGACACGAGTAGCACTCTTATAGCGAAATTAATATCCTCCAATCCTCAAATATGGAGTGTCAATGAAATCATTAATATGTAGGAGGAAAGTTGAACATTGAACTGTTTATACATGAAAAATTGTCATTTTTCAGAAGATGGTAAAAAACGACTTAAAAAAATGTCCAATGAAACTAAATGTTTTTCTGTACAAGTGTAAACACATCACTTTGATGAAATTATATTTTGTTCGAACATGATTAATTTTCTATTTTTCTTTAGCTCATCTACAACAGGACCATATTTGATTTTACTTGGAATTGATTGATTCCTCGTTTGATTTACATCCTATAGCATACATCTAGACTTGCCTTGAGTTTATTCATTTGATAATGTTTCAATTATAAGCAACGAGAGATGTGTCACATTATTTCATACATTCGATTATTATTGAAACCGCGCATGGTTTAACACGACTTCTATTCGCTGATTGTAATCCAAATTTATTCGAATAACATTTTCGTCTTTGAGAATTTCAAAATTGACCAACGAAATTTATCACTATGAGTTCGTTCGGTAATTGTCTGGTTTCTAATGTATCAACGTCTGTAGAGAAAACTTAAATTTCTCAGGAACAAAATCGATCTTTCGAAAGACTTAGATTAGAAATCGACGATTCTCAAGTCTGCATCACTATAATCTCGCTTTCATTCAGCGATCTGTAGATAAATACTTTGGATTGAAAGAAAATTCTTCTAAAATTCTAGCTATTGACAGCAAAATATCGGAAGAATAAAAAAAAATCAACTTTCTATTAGATTATTCCTATGAGTAATCTATATGCAATTCGAATTAATTATTTTCCAAACAAATCTATTTGAAAGACTGCAAATAGAAGCAAAAATAATTGTGTACAATAAATTGTCCCTTGTGGCTGTTGAGTTATAATTTATTTTACAAGTAGATAAATCTATAGGCCCATAGATATTAATGATTGAAGATCTTTCGAATACAAAATACACATGCCGTTCTAAACCATTCTGTTGAATTTCTTACGCAAGGAATTACACAGGAGCTAGTCATTTTAGTCAAAACGAAATATCGTTAACAACACAACTTTACATATGCACAATTACGCGCTACTCCAATTAAAGAATAATATAGATATCAATGGTTAATTTCTAAGAAAAATCATAGTACGTATCAGAGATCTTATGCAATTTGTAGGCTCTGATTCATCGATTCTTCCTTACCTAAAAATAAAGTCACTCACTGATAGTAGAGTATGAAACTAACTCGAAATCGATGATGCTTATTTTCGATTAGTGGTAAATATTTCAAAAAAATTAGCAACAACAACTTCACGCTTTTCAAACACGACCTATAAATAACGTCGATGAATATCATATAGCAATTTGATATTTACCGAGAAGTAAGATGAATCATTGAAATAAAGACCCCTATCAACACATTTGAAACATATAATTTGATCTTTTCCTCCAATATTTTTATTACACAATAAAAAAAAGGGTACATACACAAACGACCTACTGATTTCGTTTAGTTTTTGCTTTCATCAACTGTCGAACAATATCAAGACAAGAGAAACATGATTAATGCATATGCTGTGTAAAGAATCAATAGACAACAAAGAAGAAAAGAAAGAAGTTAACTAGAGAGTAAACAAAGAAAAAGCACACAGAAAAGAAACGCATGAATTTTTGTTTTTTTTTTCAATCCTGTTTTAGCAATAGACACGTATAAGATACACACACACAGAGCCTTGTAAAAGCAACAAATCGAAGCGAAAACCGACTTCTTTGAAGTTCATCTTCAAACTGAAACCGTTGCATTAACTATCTGCAGGAGATCGAGATCGGCTTCCACGACGAATGCCACTGCTATTACCAGCAGCACCACTACCGCCACCATTGCGTTTAGCATAGTTTGGTGAAATTGATTTAGAATGTGAACGACTGCCACCTCTAAATAAAAATAAAATAGAAAGTTTTAAAAACAATTTATCGTCTCAGAGATCTTAGTGGATAGTCATGTCGTCATCCCTCTTCATTAGAGGTCGAGAGTAGCAACTATGTTTCTTCATCACCGACGATAAGTGCGCTAGTGTTTTTTTTCAACTAAAGAAAAAAAACTTTTTCTTTAACTTACCGTCGTGGTATGGGTGAACGCGAGTATGGTGAACGTGATCGGCTACCACCTCGTCGTCGATCTCTACCCACTGGTGAAGGACTTCGTTGACGACGATCACGGCTACAAATAAGAATTTATATAATACTTGAAACCAACCCTATGAAATAATTTACCTTCGTGATCGATCACGTCGGCCAAATTCACCTGTTCGACTACCATGACGTGATTCTTTCTCTCGAGCTCTCATTTCCGATGGCGCTAAAGTCAACAAAACATTGTTATTTTCAATAAAAACTAAACAGGTTTCAACTTACTTTTACGATCTCCACGTGCGAATTCAACTTCAAGTTCTCGACCATACAATCGATATCGATCAAGAGCATGAAGAGCTTCCTCTACAACATGAAGGAAAAAAACATTTTCAATACGGTTCATTTATATGAATCACTTACCAGCATCACGACTTTCTTCATATTCAACAAAACCGAAACCTTTAGCATCTCGTGTATAATAATCCAACGGGAGGGTTATGTCAACGATGCGTCCATATCGGCCAAAGATTTTTTTCAAATCGTCATAACTAAATGAAACGCAAATTTATTGATTGTATCCAATGGTAATAGATTTGAACCGAATATCTGTGTGCATATACCAAAATTGAATGTGACTTTGGTAGGCTGAAATATTCTTTTTCAAACAAAGTACGAACGTCCCATGCATCGAACTGTTTTATTAATCAACTCAAATAAAGATTCGTCAGATGATTCAAGCATATAGCTCAGTATGAATAATTATTAATCATAGAGGGAGTCATTCAATCGACAGTGACTTAAGAACGAGAGAGCAATTTTATTACATGTTGATGCTTTTTTGTTTAGTTCTCGAAATAAAGTTTGCCTTCGAACTTCAACTCAATCTGTTAATAGTAATCATTTGTCTAGCTAATATTGGCCGTCAGTCATCCTAAACGTGTCATGCAACACACGTTTCTTGACTAATTCAAGGAGGAAAAAACCTTTCGTCTAAAAAGCATCGAAAAGCTATGATATGATGCATACGTCTACTGCTTGTATTTTGTTTTGAATTCTGCTGATGCTGACTGGTATATCATCACCACTTTGAACTGAAACGAATTCTCCTATATGGTATCAATTGAAACTTGTCTGTATTTTGTATTTGCATGGGAATTATTTTTAAAAATCTGTTTTAGTTTTTTTGAAATTGCTTGATTAATTAGTTAGATTTTTGGTGGTCAATTGCTTGAGTATTATTGAATAAAAAGAATGGGACTGAAGGTGAATGTGTGTATGTGTGATTTATATTTTTTTGTTTGATCACGTTTGAAACACACCTTATGAAAGAGAAAAGAAAATAAATGAAAAATTAAAAGAAAACACAAAGCCATGCGTTTAGCTGAGATCTATTGGGAAAATTATTTCTTGAATTTTTCAGAAAATGATTTCAATTAAGTAAAAACATGAAAACTGAATAGAATAAAGATTAACATACCGAACACGTTCGGCAAGTCCACGAACGTAAAGTGATGCGCTAAGATTACGGGAGTGTCGGCTAGACATATGTCGAACGTAGATTGTTATTTCTGCGAATGAATGAATAACTTGCGACACACACACATACACAAGAGAAACAAGGGCAGAGAAAGAAAAGAAAGAAATATCCGTATATATTCATTTGACCTCTAAATAATGCATAGATGCGTCAGGTTTTTACCTTCATTTTGATTGGTTGAATATTTTTCTATAGTCCGATATGTTTCTCTGTATTAATGATAATAAAATTTGAAACGAAACGAAAATGTCGAAGTCAATTGTCAAGAAAGCATTGGAAATTATTGATGATGATGATGCAGATATAAAATCCAAAGCTAAATCCAAATCTAAATTGATTTCAATTAAAAAGAAGAAAAAGAAAATTGCATTAACTCATAATGAACAATCAGCATTTCAAGATAGAAAACAATTGGCACGAACATGTTTAACATTGAAAAAAATGTCGACACCAGTTGTATCATCGGATCAAATCGAACAATTCAATAATTATCGTTTTGGTGGTCCGTCTAAACGAGATTTACAACAGAAAAAGAAAAAGGAGAAACAAGAAGAAATATTTACTGAAGAAGACTTTAAACGTTTTGAACGAGAATATAATCCACCGTTACAAAAATCATAATTTGTGCTTTGTTTTGTCTTTCTAGATTTATTTATTTATTTTTATATTATCTAGTCAATTTTCCTGTCGATATGGAAAGTAAGTAAATAAGTTGAAACAATTTATTTCTTAATAATAATTTATTCTAGCACCAAAACGTACAGCATTACCTGAAAGTTCATCAGCTCTTGCTGAATCATCCGGTGGTCTTGCATTTGAAGTTAGATTAGCTGAATCGCCACGTCATGGAGCAGCTCAACCACCATTACATTTTCTTTCGCCAAGTGCTAAAAGTAATCAAAATGATTTATCAACACCATTAACACCTGAAAGTATAACGGAAAAATTAAAACGTGCCGAAGAACGTCGACTTAGTCTCGAGCAACTTCGTTCTACATTACTTGCAGCTGAGAATAGTCGACCAGTCGAAATAAGTAAAATAAAAGATCAACAAGCTGAAGACTTTAAAAAACAAACTGAAGAAAAATTACAAAAGAAACTTGAATCAGCAAAAGAAAATCGCGAACGTGTTCTACAGGCAAAAGTTGAAAAAGCGAAAGCGCCCATAGAAAAAGGCTTTGCTACTGTTCATCATAATTTAGCTAAACTCGAAGAAGAACGACAATTGTTACAAGAAAAAATTAATCAAAAATTAAATACAGCTGAAATAAGTGAGAAGAATTAGCGTTCGATTTTTTTTATATTTAATTATCATTGCTTTTTAATAGATCGACAGGAACAATTAGATCGTTTAATGGAAAAATTAAATGAACACGATAAGAAAATTGAAGCGATTAAAAGTCAAACAAAACCTGAAACAACTACAAATGAACAAACAGCATAAATCAAAATATATATTTACATTTGTCTTCTTATCCCTGTGATTTTTGTCTCTCGCTCCAATATTGTTAAACTCAGATATTCTTTCATCTTACTATATACATTATAATAACTCGTGTCTGATATTTCTTATATTGAACAATAAAGTTTCTACTCTTATCAATAATTCTCATTTATTCATCGATCTAACAAGAGTGGAACGAACGATTTCGTTATGCGATATTTAAAAACAATGATAATTTTTCTGGCAAATTTTAAATGTATTATTATGATCTGTAAAATACACTTCTCCTAGGTAAATAGCATGGTGGTGCAGGGAATTGTTTTTTCTTGGATCTCCTTGCTTTGATGTTCAGTTAACGGAATCAAGCTGCGTACAATTTTGATCACACTCTTGCCATTGAGGAAGTGGCCTCCTCGTTTGCTTTTAATTTCATAATTCAAGAAATATTTGTATTGGATAGACTATCTTTTCCAGTGCAAGCCGAGACGATTTATTGATTTTGATGCATTGTCTATTCTCGTTTTTTTTTTCATAGAGATAGCGGTTATTTTTTTATTTCTATCTCTAAGAGAAGATTAAGATAGATGTATACATCTAGGATTATGAGAAAAATAATCCAATAGGTTTGTCTGATTGATCATCCAATTCATCAGACATATTAAAAGAAATAATCCTTTTTTTCCCTATGGGAAAGGATGAAAAAAAATGAGGCAGATCAGTGTCGGATTTGAAATCATTGTTATCTTTTTGATAAATTTCCTTTTATGTGATTACATCTTTCATAACTTAAACCTAGTAAACTGATCGACCTACTTCTTTTGATTCACCGAGAGAACTTATTTTTGCATAAAATTGAAATTGCTATTTATTAATGTCTTTATTTACAATGGTTTAATCCACAGTCGGGCTTGAGTTGATTCGTTTACTAGTAGAGTAAACGTACAAAAACTACGATTTTGTCAGAATCGTTATTTTCGATATGCCGATAAATACATAAGCGTATTTTGTAATGATTTAATTATTTATGGTGGAAACGAAGATGATTTGAAGAATTCATTTTTTGAATACGTAGACTGTTTATTGTCTAGGGGCAATGATATACGAGAAGGCAAGAGTAGTAAAATTTTTAACATAGCGCAGTTCGTTCGTTACAATCACATGTTGTTTAAATAGAAAAACGATTTAGACTACGTTGGAATTCTCTTATATTTAATGTTCTTGATCGCGAGATAAGAAGAGTATTTACTTCCAAACGAAGATGAGAAGATCTACTAGAATGATGAAATTTTGAATATTTATATCAATAATATCTTGTGATAGTTATCTCTGTAAAAGAAAATTGTTTGACAATAATCAATTTATGTTTTGTTTATGCTCCGGATAGAAAAGTTGGATCTCTTGAAGTTGATCGTTATGTACTATGAAGAATGCATATTTGTATTTTAATTCTTTCTGAAAAGTTAGAAATCCTACGTGATATGAATAAAGTTCGCTTCTAACTTGAACAATACGATGCAAGATAGTTACAATGCCATGGCTTTTTTTCATTCAACTACAAGAAAGGAATATTTCTAACGGTGAGTAGGCATATCATTATAATGAAATGTCTGCTCAAATTTTGTCTACAAACGTTTTGTCTGCATGAATACGCTATGCTCCTCATCATTTTCACTTTTAAAATACTGACGGGTTGTTTGTTCCATTAGATTCATCATATTTAAATATTCACTTTCAATTGAGCGAGCATTTATTCAAAGTTGACATATCATATGATTAAATATTTTGAAAATAAGAAACTCTTTCGAGAGAAAAAAATCTCATAACCAACTACCTGGAAATAGTCGAATGTTATTTGTCTGTAATGCCATCAAAGTATTAACGTTGCCATTGAAATCAAAACAACAATACTTCTATACATGATGATATTTACTTAAAAAACTCCGCAAGTGCACTATAGAAATTGCTTGTAAAATATTTCTGTTCTTCATTTTTTGCTTTAGATTAATATTGAAAATAAGGTTTGGCATTGACAAGCTGCTTCAAGTTTTAAGCACAAATTTTTAAAAACAGCCAGCATATTTGTGTTCATTATAGTTATAAACTTCGATACGTTTGTAGGCACTTATATAACCTTGTATGGTTATTATTTTAATTATATATATATCTTTGCTTTTAAAAATGCCAAAAAAATAAATAGGACGAATTACAATGTCAAAACAAAAATGCATTGGAAGACAAAATAATGATCAGAAAAAATTCATACGAAAATAAACGAGATACGAAAATACTCATTAATAAATAAATGCACGATATTAATCTACAATCCAAGACGAGCAAATGCCATTTGCTTGCGTAGTTCTATTACTTTATTATAACGACTTTGAGCTAGAAGGATAATTATTTAGAAATAAATGAAAAAATATTTAGATCATTTTCGTACCATCAATTTTCACCAGACCACATTGCACATGACGAATAAACGTAAAAAAGTCACAAACTGCTGCAATCTATTTCAATAAAATCCAATAAGAAAACAAACCATGGAGTAAATCGACTTACTCGATTTCGAGCTAGACTTGATAATAGCCACCATTGACTATTTTCACCTAATCGAACACGATAATCACATTGACACAGTTCACCCATTAGTGAGCAAGTTCTAAATAAATGAAATTTTTACAAATAAATTCGAAAAATGAATTCTTACTTCATATTCCCTTTTGAATGGCACGCTTCCATGGCCACATCATTTGTTTCGATGGCCGCTAGAACTTTTGACGAAAGCTATTTAAATAGAAGAAAAACAAAACTCTCTGCGAGATCAATTCGTCTTTTAAATATCACTTACATCAGCATTAGGAAATGTTAAACATGGTAAAATATCTTCATTATAAATGCGATACATAAATACAGATGAATCTCGTTCAATGGATGGCTTTTCTTCCCAACATGTAAATTCTCTCGATAAAATATTATCGATCTAATCAATCAATAATTGGAAATTTTCAATGGATTGTAATAAAACGTAGAAGATTTCAACTTACACTATTCTGAGTTGTTGACATATCGGACGATGACCGGCACGAATTTAAAATTTGTTTTAATTCATGAACTGTTTTTTTCAATTGACTATTCTCAACTGTTAGCGCTTCAATCTAAATCGAACAAGTTTGTTTGTTCTATCTGTTTAGACAGGAATATTTACTGTTTGATTTGAATTTTTTAATTTTTGTTCAGCATTCGCTTGAGCGTATTTGGCTTGTTCAACCATTGAATGTGCAGACTATTTGAACGAATTTAACTATTTTAAAATCAATGAAAAAGTTTCATTTTATTACTTCGAATAATGATGCTGTCAAATCTTCAATTTCTCTGTCCGCATTGTCACGCATTTCATGTGCTCGACGAACTTCACTATCTTTTGATTTGAGATCTTCTTTGACACGTTGTAATTCATTAAGTAATTTTTCTGCCGTTAAATCATGTTCGAATGCTTCATGTGCTACCACAATTCCACTATCATTACTAAATGTGCTGAAAGAAAAATATTTGTCGTTGATAAATTTTATTTTTATTTTCGACAATAATACATACGAATCGACACTGTGTGCATCACTTAAATCTTGACGATGATCGAGTATTGCATCGGCGAAGACAGATTGTTCCATCGTTACTATCTAAATTAACAAGACAAACGTTTCTTTTTTTTTATATAGTCATGTGTGCTAGTGCAATAAAATAAACCTTAAACTGATATTCATCAAAGCTGAACTCGCAGAGTTTCCAATAATGAGCGTACTTCCTGATAGCGGAACGTCTGATGACGTCGTCGGTTCCTTCTAATAATGTGTCATTTATGTGAAACTTCCTATGAAGAAAAGCAAGTAACGACTAAGTCACATAGATATGTAACATGAAATCACACGATACAATTATAGTAGCAACTAGTTTGTTTTCCCTTTTTATGCATGAATGACGTTGGAAGAAGAGTCGATCAAATTTGTTTATAGTGTTTATCATCAGGGGCAGCAAGATAAAAGTACCTTGATAGTGTTATGTTATAAGAATTACTCTATTAAAAAAAAGATACAGTAAAAGACTAGACAATTGATCCTTATTTATTTGAATAAAGTAAACGAAACAAGACATAATAGTTACAATATGCAGGATAAGACATGCCAAGAACAACACATGATATTGCTGATAGCTATTACCGAATCATATATTCATACGAAACACTGTTTTATTATTCTTTACGTACGCACCTGAGGAATGCAGCAAGGTGAGCAAATAATGTTGAATTGTGTAGGCAACTTATGAAGAAAAGAAACAATCAACAATTGATGACGGTTGTATGAAACGTGCCGAACCCACACACATTTCTCTCCTACGCTAGCGAGTTCGGTGTGTTATTTTGCGAAAGAAGGAAAAAAAAGAGGAAACTAAATTCTTTCACCATTCGTCTTTAAAACACATAGATGACGTCTACTGACAGTCAAAAACATGCGTCTATTAATTGAAATACTTTTATATTTATATAATTGAATGATAGGCAGATAAATAAATAAGATCTTTTTTCTTTCTGTGATCCCCGATGATGTACAAAGCTTTCGTGTTGCAGTGATTTCGAAAACAAAAATTCAAAAAACAGTTACTCAAGCATAACGTCAACGTATCATTGTCGATTTCAGCTAGAAATTTTGATTCTGATATATATCTCGTCTAAAAGAACCACATGGAATTTTCGAAGGCTTCCCTTTTGTCTAACGTTGTAATAATTAAAACAAAAAAACAAAACAGTCTGATGCCTTGTTTGCTGAATATCTTATAAAAGATCAGCTGACGAGAACTAATTAATCAGGTAGATAATTAAACGAGGAATCCATATCGTTCTTTATGAATAAATTGACAAGCCGTGCTGAAATTCTCATGTTAATCAGTTTTGTAATAGTTCTGTGTTCGCATTGTTCTGATCTAGATAAGCTGACCGATGTCAGTAGAAGATTTCCAACTTCATTATATTCATATTAATTATCCTTTGTGTTATTTTAAGATTCAATTATTTTCAAATACTTCGATACTGGTGTTTCACTTTTTTTTGACAAAGTCGTGATGTCACGTACTTATTTTTGTGACCGAAGAAACTTCTTAAATTAAAATGTGAATGATTCTTTTCTCAAAAAGATTTCGCCTTCTTCATTATAGAAATGCTTAATAGACATGTGAAAGTGAAAAATATGCATATATCAATTGCTTCGGGTTGATTGGTAGACGCTTAAGCAATGCCAGTTCATCCACCGATTTTAATTTTTCAAGTTTCGAGCAGTATCATGTTTAAAATTGAATTTAATGGTAATTTCCATGTGATTGGCATTATTTATATTGTAGTTTGTCGTTTTCATTATTTAGAGAGAAGAAGTGATTACTTTAATCGATCGGTAATTTTACCTCCGTGGAAAAAAAAAGAAAACCCTCGAGCTAAGTTCCGTTTCCTTGTTCTATAGTTCTAGGGAAAAAACGACGATTTGTATTCACCTATAAAAATGAAATTGTATCTAATTGATTTTTTTATTATAGAAAGAAAAATGAAAAGAAAAAGGCTTTAGTTTTTATCCACGAGAACATTATTGTGACCTCGAACTGGAATAAAATCTGGTGTTATTTATTTTTCACAAAGAAAAGCTTTTTAAATAGACTACAGTCAAAACTGTTTTCTTTTTAATTTAAAAATAAGAAATAAAACAACAGTAAATCATTAAATATTCTATATGTCCGACGTCATACGCATTTACTTCTGCAATATTTAATCAGTATTTCACACCCTTATTGGCATGCATTTGTCATCTCTATTGTCGTTTGTTCTTTTTTCTTTGTTGTTGTTGTATTCAAATTTCTTTTTGCAAAGAATAACAATAGTGGCAACGACGGGCGTAAACTCATACACAATTCTTTTTTATTTTTCAGCAACCTCATCATCACCTCACAGTGTTTGAGTGATGCTAGCTGTTGGCATCGTCGTCGTCGTCGTCGTCGTCGTCATCGTGCGTTGATAGAAAACGAGAATTGTATTGAAATAGAAAAAAAAGAAACCAATGTCAAAAAAAACTTTTGTTTGAATGATGCTGTACGTTCAAAAGTAAACATCAAGCATTTAACGTTATTCTTTATGCTTGTCGGACACTTTATCAACCTATTTGATATAACATTAGTTAGGCACGTATATCCGAAGTTCTTTGAAAATCCATAAGTATACCGGCAATGTTTACAATTTAGAATACTGTACATCTATACGAGAGCAATAATTAAAAAATGTACTTGTAACAGAGAAGGAGAGGGAGAGGGAGAGGGAGAGGGAAAGAGAAAAAATGCAAAGAAATCTATTTGTCCCTGTAAACTTCTTCTTCCCTTCTCTTTGTGTTTTCGGATTTCAATTTTCTTTTGAAAGCATAAGACGTTGTTGTTTTGACGCTTTCATTTAGAAGCACGTACAACTAATACTGAAACTAAACCATATGTAACTAAATGATTATGCTGTTTTTTGTTTTGCTATAATCGTACATAGAAAAATAAACGAAAGAGAATAAGATCTGAAATTCTGACATCATCATCATCATCATTTCAGAAACTTACATTCATCATTATATTCTAGAATGTAAATTATAATTTCAACTATGGAAGACGAGGCCCATTCAAACCCTCCTGATGATCTAGCTGCCAGTTCATCGACTGATGGCGCAAGTCTTTATCAACCTTTATCATCTAAACGTCCACGAGATCCGTCTCAACGTAAAAATGTTTCATTTAATGATGTTCCTATTGTGCACGAAGTACCATCACATAATACCACACGTAATTCTAACAGTGAAGCATATCGTTCATGGACATATACCGATGCTACGCCGCCCGTTTCTGTTGTTTCACCATTTGCTTCTTCACAGATCCTTTCACCTTTCCATTCATCAAATGCTGCAACACAAAAATTACATACGCATCGTTTAAGTAGTGCTTTATATTCCTCAACAAATAGTACAACATTGACTCGATTACCAGATTGGATTATGCGAACTAAACCTATCAAGCCTGTAGATGAACTATTGGAATATCATACAAGTTCGAATCAACCATTAGCTATTGTAAATACTCATGATGAACGAACGACTAAGCATTCGTCAACAAATCAACAAGTCACATCGGATAATGGAGAAGAAAAAAAATATTCATATCGTACAGCAGTGGTACCTGATGCGGAACATTATCGTAGTCTTCCGTTTACATATGTACCATTGTCTGAGTCGGCATCGACATACACAACTATATTATCAACAAATTTTAATTCATCATCAAATCACTCTTCGAATGGACAAACACGTAATGCTCGCGCACGTTCAGCTACTTTACCAATAAATATAATTCACTCAGCAACACATAATCATGATAATATATCGATCACACCTATACGTACAACAGCAACAGCTACTTTATCGAATAGTTTATTAACGCCTTCATCGTCAAGGACAGTTTTGAAGCCGGCAACAGTTGCATTTCAATGTTCACAACCAACACCAGCAAATACTTCAACATTAATTATTACAAATACAAAATCGCCACAAGTTACACCACGTTTAAATACATCTTTTGTTCATCCTCGTGTAGGTTCATCTACAATAAATCGACCATTATCATCCAATAAACATTCGTTTTCTCATCCGTCACCTGATTCAATGCAAAAATCATCTCCTACTGTATTCACTCGTTCACGTTCTGCAAATGTTTTTGTTAAAAGACGTAATACAACTTCACCTGTTACGACGATCGAGACACAATCAGAAGAAACTAATATATATGCAAGAACCAAACACAATCCTAATATAAGACAAGCTTATGGTTCTCATTATATGCACCGTATACTTTTACCAACGAATATTAATTGAAAGAAAATTTGTAAATTTCTATATATTCTCTTCTCTTTTCTTCTTTTTTTGTGTTAATTGATTTTTTTAAATACGTTCTTTAAAATCCAGCCAATCGTCATGTCGATATATATATATATATATTTGCACAAGTATCTATATCGAACTAATTTATTTGGTAAATTAACTTTTATCTTCATTGATAAACAGGTGACTCTTCTAATCCTTCTTTTATTTTATTTATTGACAATAGGCTTCGTTGCATTGCCGAATTCGATCTTTGAACAAACATTATACAAGAAAAAGAACGAAGTATTTTTAAGCAACATTACGAAGGTTAAATAGAAAGGGAGCGAAAAAAATCGTTTCGTTTGTGGCTTGCTCATTCGATACGATATGGTGTGAACAGTAAGAAGTTTATCATAGTTCTCTCTCTCTCTCTTCTTGTTTGATTGATAAAAAAAGATAGCATTACTGGTGTATATTCCATCTGACTATCGTTCCCATCGTTACTCATAAATTGCTTATGATTGTTGGCTTAAGATAACATTCTTACCATTAATGTTGGCTTAAAGATAGGCAAACGAATATATATATATATATATATATATACGTATACGTGTGTGCGCACTATTCGTTTTTTCCTTCTTCTTCTTTTTCGTCGTCTCTCTCCTATGAGTATATAAAAGCAACTATTTTTTTCAAAACGATTCAGTCAATTATTTATTTGTCTCAAATTGCGCTCGATCGTGCGAGTTAGGACGGACAATGACAATGAAGACGAAATTCTTTGTTCGTCTGGCTCGTATTATTGGTGCAATGTTTAAAACGACATTGACAAAAAACTGAACAACTAAATAATAAATAATAATCATAAAAACTAGTAAGTTTTATAGCTTTTGATTGTAGGTATCGATTAAATTTACAAACGAAACCATAAATCAGCATATAAAATTGGTCTAATGGTTAGATGCAATACATGTGATCAAGTGTTTGCATCAACAAATGGTTTTACATTTGTAAGAAATCTTCAAATGAAATTAAATTCTTTTAGACGAACTAATTGATGATTTTGATTAAATAATAATAATTATTATTTCGAAGGCCGAAACAATGTGAATGATGTATTGGATTAGAATATTTTACTCTTTTTACCAGCAAAAAAAACAAAACAAAAGGATTCTTCTCTAATTAAAAACAAAAGTTTAAAGCAAACATGAATAAATTTCTTGATATATATATTTTCTCACGTCAATAGTAATAAGAAAACAAAAAGATTATTTTAGATTACAAGTAGTATCTCTTATTTTCTCGCCGAACATATCAATGAGTTAATAATTTCTTCTTCTTCTTCTCAATTAAAAAAATAGCCTCCTATGAAACTCATTTGAGAGTTGTGTAAGCATATATAAAATAAATTTTCATGTGTATGTTGTTGTATTATTTGAAATCGCTTGATAATTTCGCTATGCGTAGTGTTTGAACAAAAGTTCATATTAATAAATGTGTGCCTGTAAGCATTAACTATTTTTCACGTTAAAATATTGAATGACAGTTTGTTGTCAGACCTAGTCTGACTCGTATGATTAAAAAAAAAACTTCCGCAGATGTTCATTCGCAGTCCAAAGTGTTGGCGTGATCAATTTTGCCTATTTTATGTTTAATATAAATTCCAAGAAAGCTCGGATGCTGTATTTTCTTCTCTCTATAGATAAATAACTATGCTGAAAAAGCACGTCATCATGACATGACTTCCTGCATTCTTTTTTTTGTTATCTCCGTATATTTTGTCATTGGAACAAAAAAAAAACTTGCAGATCTCTTATCTTGATCTGAGTGTCCCCAAATAAAATTTTAGTCTAGCTAATGGATATCAGATTAGTTTTTTTCATAGATATGTAATCTGTGTTGTGCTTCTTTTTTCGCATTTTTTCTTTAATTACTTTCATGATTAGCTTGGATCTTTGAATGTAATTGGAAGAAAAATATAATGAAACCATTCAACAAATTTTGTTTTCCGTCGTAAAGAACTAAGTTGAACTGTTTCATTCGGCACTACTATTTAATGACAATCACAAGTTAGAGTCTGACGAATAAAGTGAACTTTTTCGTCATTAATAATCAACTAGAAATAATGAAATGAGTGCATTTGAACAAAGAGAAAGTATAAATGATAGATTTTCTTGAAGTTCTGTTTAAGAGGAGAAGCAAAACATCGATGAACTTAATAGTATTCTTTAACCAAGAGAAAAGACGTGCCTTATTTGAGATATGGTAAATAATAAGAACCTATACTGTGTTGAGACAGCTTGCAAAGTTTTCTTACTTCATATTTCTCACTATTCATATCAGCACGAATTAACAAAAATGAAAGAAACCCGTGGTAAGTAATAGTCCAATATTATTTTATAGTAGCGAAGAATTTTGAAGTGCATGACATCCGAGTTAGTGGCAAGTGGTTCATGGTTCATTTTATAATTTATTTTTGCATGAATAAAAAAACGCATTTTATGTCCTAATAATTTTGTTTCTATTCATAAATTTTATGAATTAATTTATATGTGTATAAAATAATATATGGCTCTTCGGCTCGACTAAGCGTAATTAATAGAAACTGTAAGAAGATTTTTGCCTGAATTTTATAATATTTTCATCTCGAATTTTACCTGTTCAATATTATGACAGCATATATTTGTTTTATCTCCGTTTTACATGTAGAAAATAGAAACTTTAGTATAAATGCTTCGCATAGAAAAGTTATTGTTTGTTTGTTTTCTAAATTATCTACCCGATATAACATTTTATTAAATCGACTCAACAATCAAAGATGAAACATATAGAAATGCTGTTGAGAATTCAATTTTGGTTTTTTAGTATGACCATTATACAGTTTTAATGAGACAATTAATGGTAATCTTTGATTTTTTCGTTATTATCAATTATATTTCTATATGAGATCGTGATGTAAATATCCAGTATCACTTTATTAAAATCTCTTCCTCTGTATTATTCCCTGCTCATTTAATTATATTTACTTCTGTCATAGATTGTTTTCAATTTAACAAAATGATCTATTATAATAATACAAATATCGATAAAATACATTCAACATCATCAGTAACTACGTTGGATGTCGAATTGCGTGGCTGTGAATCAGATACATTAATGTTAGTTATGAAAATTCAACCGATATTTTTATTAATATTTGGTTTTCTAGCAAATCTATGTTCATTCGCCGTTCTTATTCAACCACGTTTACGTTGTCGACCGACATTTTCTTATCTTGCTTTTTTAAGCTTATCGAATGCATTTTTATCTTTGATTCATGCTTTTTTTACTATTATTGGTGTTTATTTTGGAGTGACATTAGAAAATCTTTCATTATTTATATTTTGTCGATTATTAAATCGATTTTTAATTGATTTTCTAACACATTTTTCATTACTTACATTAACAGCTGTTGATCTTGATCGTTGTCGAACTGCTACATCGAAAACTGTTGTATATAGAAATGCTAATCGTGGCAGTAGTCACAGAGAAAATGGCTGTTCAAAAGGATTTATTCGTGTTTGTTTAATTGAATTATGTTTTGCATTAGCTTTATTTTTTGTTGATCTACATTGGTTAACATCCTATGGCTATACAAAACCAAATTTGAATTTAAATGAACCGAACAAAATCACCATGTGTACAATCGTAAACAAAAATGGTTCTATATCATTTTATGGAAAATATTTAACATCGATTCTACCTGTGATCGAATTGATTTTATTTGGAATTTTACCTTTCTCAATAAGTTTCATTACAACAATAATTATACTGCGACATCTATCTATAAAATATACTTCGATGAATTCTCATAATAGATATTCAGTACAATGTCGTCGATGTCTTGAATTACATTTATCGATATCACTTATTTCAGTGAATTTTGTATATATATTATTTACTACACCGCATAATATATTTAGTGTATATCTAGGAAATTTACATAATCAATTATATCATAAAAATGAAAGTGAAGATGTATTATGTTCGCTAGCAATTACGCAAAAGAGTTTAGATCTATTACAACAATGTTATTTTATGTCAACATTTTTTCTTTATATATTAACAAACAAACGTTTCCGAGAAGAACTCTATCGGTTAATACAATGCTGTGTATTTATTCTATTTCCAAAGAAGAATACAAATAATTTAGAATTAACATTATCAACGTCTCCAAATCGCATTATTATTAGCACGGATAATAATCAGCGAAATATCAGTGGAAATTATTTAACAGCACGTTGCCAAGATGTTTCAAGAAACTGGGGTTCTATTAGTAGTGTTTATGAAAAAAATGAACTAGTATCAATATTAAATAAGGATTAAACTATTCTTTAATATTAGATCGAATATTAGCAGACAGAGAATAGTATACTCTATTTTCAATGCTTAATTATTCGAAAATTTTATTGTTTTGTGATTACTTGTCCATCGTCAATGTCTAAATATATCTTGAAGCGAAAAATGAATGTTTCAAATGCAATCGAACTAATACTCAAAATAGCAATTAGTGCGATACGTGAGAGATTAAAATGTCAAACACGATAAAGCTGCTATGCGCTGATCTCGGGAGGATACTCTAGTCATGGTGTTAAAAGTGAGATGAAAATTTCGAACCTTTATGCTTCAACAGTTCTCCTAAATCGTGTCTTACAAAAGTATCAGATTCACATAGTATAGCCTTATAGGATATACCATATTAATAGATAAAGTTCATTATTAAGTTTTCTTTTTCTACCAGTTCGTTAACTCAACATGACAGTTAAGTGAATAAGGTTTTCGATGCAACTTCTTCGTCATACAGCGCTGAAAAATTCATAAAGTGCTATCGAGCGGTAAATAAGACTCTCAGTCGTACTATTCTCTTTGTGTGCAATCAAAGTAAGCCAACAAAAAAAAAAAGAATATCCTTTGAGTACTCACCATCTACTAATTCGCACCATGATATGATTTTCTGCTTCCTGTTCTGACGATGAAAATAAGATTTTTATTTTATCTGAATCAAATGTCTCGACTAGATGTGCCACTTCATCCTATATCAGTGGCGGCGGAGTCACTGTGACCCATGAGGCTTGAGCCTCGCCTAGAGTTTGCAAGATGAAGCTCAGCCTCACTTGCTTTTGTACTGATTATTGCTATTTTTATTCTTGCATCAAAGTAGGAGCAAAGAAAAGTATATTTTGGTATTTTCCAATCTTCTTTTTTTATACTGACCATTTTTATTTTTGCTGAAATTCAATAAAAAGAAGACTTATTCCCTGCTTGATGCTTTCATAAAATTCCACATTAGAAAAAAAAGATTATGAGCCTCACATAGCTTAATGACGCTCCGCCACCCCTGTCCTACATACCGATTGAATTTGAATGATTTTTAAGAAAAGAAAAACAGAACATTTTGTTTTTCAAAAAAAATTCAAGCAACCTGAAAGAGAGATTATTTGGTTACCGAACTATTCAGAATGAAAAAAAAATCTAAATGAATTTTTGGATATATGATCTGCTTAAAATGTTGGCATAGATAACTCACGGTTGACACAAATAAAGTGTTTGGAATCGAAGTAGTTGAGTAAAACTATGTTTGTTAGATCACTGAAAAATTAATTATACGAAAAAGATCAAACACATCTTTTTAATAATGTTCGTGATAGATTATTATTTATTAATTCTATGGTCTTTTGCGTGAGTTACTTTGCCAAGAAAAAGGATTACACCAAATGAAATATAAATATGAAAATTTTTCATCTTATACTTTGCTAGACACGATTGAAAACCAGAGTTGAGCAGGGCAATAAAAGAATTGTTTTGTTCGCCTCTCTCGCCAGTACTTCAATTGAATTGTTATTTAAATTTTCAATTATATACGTATCTCATTAATGATTAAAACTAAATCATTCTTTTCTATTTTCAACTATGGATGAAGAGAGAAAAAACAAGAAATCCTATGAATATTTGTTTGATTTGAATAAAAATTGTCTATTGCAAGAAACAAAAAAGTTTGAATTCTGCTATTTCTTTTCTTGCGTTGGCATATTTTCAAGTACTTCGTCGTTATTGTTGAGTATGAAATCGAGAACAATAAAGATTTTTCTGTTCGTTTTTTTTCTATTTCTTCCGTTTACTCATGAATTTGATTACGGCGTGTCAATGAATAATTATTTGCTATGTACAAAATAGTAATCATTTCTCATAGGTATGTTTTGACGAAAATTTCGTTTTCCATTCATTTTATAGTCGTATTGAAGAGAAACTAGAAGACGAAAAGCGCATAGTTTCAGCAATTTTTGGTGAGTTGTATTTTAAGTAACCTAATATTTCAGAGAGAGAGAGAGAAACGCCTGAGACAAAACAAATTATAAGTGAAGTAAGTTATATAGAGTGGTTGTTCCAAATTCCATCACGATATTCAAATCTGATAAAAAAAATCGAATATCTCCGCTTCCCGAAGTCCGTTTGAGCTGTTTTTTAGATTCCGGAATAGACAAAACATTTTTCTATCGAATTGTATGATTTTCATCAATATACGATTCGTTTTGAGTGAGCAGCAACAAAGACACAAACACCTATTTTCATTTTTTTCCCGTTCTGCCCACGTTTTAATTCCATCATTCAAGTCATTATTCTTTCCCAATTTCATCATTCCAGCCAAAATGCATAGGATTGGCATAAAAAACATGTTTTCAGTCAGAGTATCATAATTTTTTCGAAGAAAAACTACATCATTTGATTCAGTCGATCAAGCTCTATCGACTGATATGTTTCTTGTTACGAATAAATACATATTTTATATATTTTTTCTCGTAACAATTAACTTTTTCGTCTGATGCAATTAAGTAGTGTAACTTAATTCCATCACACCAGCTATTCCTCTTTCCTTATTTCATCATGTAATAGAAAATACATGTAAAATTGTTCATCATCAGTAATAAAAACATTGGCGCTNACTACTTAATTGCATCAGACGAAAAAGTTAATTGTTACGAGAAAAAATATATAAAATATGTATTTATTCGTAACAAGAAACATATCAGTCGATAGAGCTTGATCGACTGAATCAAATGATGTAATTTTTCTTCGAAAAAATTATGATACTCTGACTGAAAACATGTTTTTTATGTCAGTCCTATGCATTTTGGCTGGAATGATGAAATTGGGAAAGAATAATGACTTGAATGATGGAATTAAAACGTGGGCAGAACGGGACAAAAAAGAAAATAGGTGTTTGTGTCTTTGTTGCTGCTCACTCAAAACGAATCGTATCTTGATGAAAATCATACAATTCGATAGAAAAATGTTTGTCTATTCCGGAACCTAAAAATCAACTCAAACGGACTTCGGGAAGCGGAGATATCGAGGTTTTACTGGAACTTTTCAAAATCAGTGATGGAATTTGGATCTACCACTCTAATTGGATGTTTCATTTTTCGATAAAAATCAATAATAGATGATTAATTTATGGACTAATTGAAGTAGCTATTTAATATGATTCATTTTTGATAATAAGAATATTGATGTAGTTTTGGAAAAAATCATCATATATTCTGAATTGGAAGTTGAAAGAAAATTAATATCAAAGAAGAGTTCTTTATTCTCTCTCTGATATAGTTCGATCTTTTTAGAATGCCGAGAAAAACATATAACGGTCACCCACTATGAGTGACATCTATTTTGTAACAACTCATGTGATTATTTCATCAGACCATTGCTGTTTTTCATTGAAATCTCTCATAAAACTGATAAACTGAATAATAATTTAGTACTGAAGTCTTTTTATTGAAATATGTTTGTTGTCATGGTATATTGAAGAACTGTTATGGCGACATAGAATAAATGTTTTACAACCAAGAAAGGAAATCGTATACAGTTACCGTCATTTATTAGTAGTTGTTCATTTCAGATAATTAGTGGTTTGATTAAAAAAGAATATATACACATTGACTTTGAAAAAGGCACATATACAAATGGCTAATAATGAAAATGAGAAGGAAGCAGCACAAGTTTATCTTTTGGGTAAAACTTACTTAGCTAATAGCCAAGGACAGTTTTATATTAAAAATGATCCTATTGTTGACATGGCTGCTGGCGATCGACATACAATTATTGTTACTGAAAGTGGTCGCGCCTTTGCTTTTGGTGATAACAGCTCAGGTAAACAATCCAAAAGGAAATAGTGTTTTTTATCTTAATTGAAACATTGCAGGTCAATTGGGTCTTGGTCATACAAATAATGTCGAGAAAGTGTCATGTATTAAAAGTTTAAAATTCGGAGATACAGGTGAAAAAGTTATTTTGGTTGCATGTGGTCGTGAATCATCATTAGTTGCTACTAATCGTGGTTCATTGTATGCATTCGGTTCAAATATTCGTTCGCAATTAGGAATGAAATCGTCCGATTCAACATCTACACATCATACTCCTGTTAAAATTGAATCTTTCCGTGGAAAAATGGTATGGAAACAAATAGCTATGGGTGCTGAACATGCATGTGCATTGACCGATGATGGCATAGTATATGTTTGGGGCGCTAATGATGACGGTCAATGTGGACAATCGAGTAAAGTTGAAACAGTTCCAACACCAAAAGAACTTCGATTAGACAGTTCTATTAATGCTATGTCAGTATAAAAATGAATAAAAAGATTTGATTGATTTCAACTTCGATGTCGATTTTTAGATCATGTGGATATTATCATACAGCATTAGTTGATGAAAATGGCCGTTTACTTTTATTTGGAAATAACGATGATAGACAATTAGGACGTTCAATGCCTGATAAATTCGCTGGTCCAATGCCAGTTTCAATTCCAGGCAAAGTTAAAGCTGTTGCTTGCGGAAATCAGCATACCGTTGTATTGACTGCCAATGGCGAAGTTCTTGTATCTGGTATGAAATAGTTTTTCAATTATTATCTATTCTAAAACAAAAACGATCAGCTGGAAAAAATGATACAACAAAATCTTATTGTTTCCTTTGCTAAAGATTAAGTGCGCCAGATTAGAATTAAAATTTCTTAATATTAACTCTAATACTTTAAGAATTATTATTTAAATTAACCTTAATGTATTAGTACTATTTTTATTACAGTTCATATTGAATCTTTGCCACTCTACGCTCTAGACACGTCGCAGAATTGTCGTGTCTTATTAGACAAGATGCCTTTAGTTAGAATAAAATTTATATTTTGCCATCAAAACATTTTTGCATATGACCTCTTAGATATGTAGCTGCAGGCAGGTATATGCATTATAATTAAAAAGTATTTGTTAATTGAATGCTACGAGCTTATCGTTTATTAATGCTAAAACAAATAAAACTACGATACTATGGTTGATTTTAATGCAAATATCTAATGATCAATTGTCTAAGAGTTTTATCAAAAAGCAAAACATTTGTTGTGATTCATTTTTCGATGCTTACAACAATGAGTCGCTAAGGCTTTTCAACTTTAATAGAATTTTGTAGTTTTGTTTTATAACTTATTTAATAGCAATCGATTCGAAAATAGTTTCGATCACTAACCCGATCCACATTTAAATCTATTAATGAGTATGTTACTTAATTTTTATTTACTAGGACATGGTGATCGTGGTCAACTTGGTCTTGGACCTAAACTTGTTTCAGCAGAAACCTTTGAAACTATTGAAGACTCGCCAAGACACATTACAGCCATCGCTGCAGGTGAAGCTCATACAGCTGTTCGCACTGCACGCGGCGATTTGTATGTATGTGGTGACGGCAAACATGGAAAATTGGGCTCATCTATTCACACCAATGAATTTCAATTATGTATTGTTGATAGATTTAAGACATATAATGTCTCAAAAGTTGTTTGTGGTGGTTGTCAAACAATTGTTCTTGCTCAAAAGGAATCTACAGAACGACAGCAAGCATCAGAAAGCGATGCAGATATTGGAAGTGAGTCTACAACGATGATTTTCAATAGAAATCAATATAACTTACATATATATAAATATCGTTCGTTATTTTTAGATGCAACACTTTCAATAACTCAACGTGAAAAAAGTCGAGCGCGAAGTATGCGTAATAAAAATATGTTCGATCGTTCAAGTGCAGCTGGTGATTCAATTGATACAACTCTTCGACAAACCAAACCCCCCGGAATAACAAATCATCTACGCGTTGAAGCTGATGAGGATAAATCTGATAAAGAATTATCTGAATCATCAAAAAGCTATACGTTTAATCAAACACATACGTTAACAAATGGTAAATTTCGTCCAGCACAAAGTCCAGGATTAAATCGTACTAGTTTACATTCCAATGATGGAGATTCAAAGCCATTAAAGACAGGTGTTTTGGATCGTACGGCTCGTCTTAATCAAGATGTGGATGATTTAAAACCTTTAAAAACAGGTGCCTTGGATCGTACAGTTCGGCTTAATCAAGACGCAGATGATTTAAAACCAATCAAGACAGGCGCTTTTGATCGTACGGTTCGCCTTAATCAAGATACGAATGATTTAAAACCTTTAAAAACAGGCGCCTTGGATCGTACAGTTCGGCTCAGTCAAGATGTTGATGATTTAAAAACGCCTAATAATCGTTTTTCATCAAATGATAAATCACCTGTACGTAATACACGATTCGAACAAACAAATCCACAACCCGTAAGGAAAAAACAAGATTCCGAGGAAGAAAAATCATCATCGGACGAGCCAACGCCATCAAGATCATTCGCTAAGAAACCTGAACGGCAATCACCTCCAATAAAAAGTGATCGACGGACATCTCCTGTATCACGACGTAGAGATGATAGCGACAGTGATGATAATAGACTTAAACGTCCATCGCCTATTAAAGCACCTATGAGTGAAACATTAAATCGAAAATCACGTCCACAAAATCGATCGAATAACGACAATAACGATGAAGACGACGACGACGACGACGACGATGACGACAACGACGACGAAGAAGAAGATGATGATGATAATCAAAGATTATCCAGCCGTCACACTAGAAAACAACCACCGCCAACTGCTGCTCGTCGAAGTTCATTACCACAGCAATCACGTTCAGGAGCACCTATGTCTTCAGCACGTGATGGAAATCAAACCATAGGTGGAAAACCAGTTGATGGTACACGAGCTAGCTTTCGTGGACCAGCAACAAAAACACTTGCCAAGCCGAATACAACAACTTCAAATGCTGATACCTCAAAAAAACAGACATCACCTGCCGAACAACCAGGCTTTTTTGCACGATTATTTGGTTCAAAATCGTCGTCAAATCCACCACCACCACCACAACCAGCTAAAGCACCCACACCCGGAACAAACACCAATTCCAGAGCATGTTCAATCATGTAGAACAAAGGAAAAGGCTTTCAATATAATAAAACCTTGTATATAAATACATGTATGTTGGCTTTGAAACATTGATTTTCTGATGCTATTTGTATGCCAGTAAAGAGTTTGTTTAATTAGATTTTCATTGTAGAAGGTGAATGTATTCAGGTTGGGTTGTTTTTTTTTCTTTTAATTTATTTACTCTATTGTTGAAATCAATAACTACTAACATGAAAAAAATGGAATTGTAATGATTTTTCAATCAATTTCAATACAGTGGAAATAACAGTTGAAAAATAAAGTAATGAATAAAACTACGTAACTGTTGCTCTTCTAGCTTTTAATAAATTTATTTCGTGTAATTGTCATCATGATTGTGTAGGGAAATACAATTTGAATTATTGCATTCACAAGGTTTATTCATACTTGAAAATCATAAGGATTTAATTATAGGTTAAAAAAAAAATTTACTCTTCACTCTTGATGCAATGGATTGATCGTAAATGTCTGTTTTATTGTCTAACAAGGTCAATTGCAAATTTATGATCAAAAAAATAATTGAAAATCTCTCGTAAGAAATCTCACCTTGTACAGGAAAGCAAAAAAAAATAGAATCCGAACTCCCAGATTTGAACTGGGGACCTATAGGTTTCTATGATTTACACACCTTTACAGCCTACCGCTCTGCCAGCTGAGCTAAGTTCGGATGCTAGATGAAATTCGAAACCAAGACTGATTGCTGATGATATCAATTTCTGTTGTTTTACCCGCCTCATTGATACATGCATGTATTTGATTCGTGTAAAAACTACACTAAAATAAATTCATTAATACAAATATTTTCAAAATAAATGCTTATGTTTTCGTTTTGTTTTGAGATAATATGAGGAAGCTTTTTTTTCTAGAAATAAACTGCAAATGTTGACTCTTATTGACATCACTTGTAGCACTATTAGAAGACCTTGATTATGAGCATATTCTGATGCGGCTTTTTCATACTGTACTCAATACGAATCAACTCAAGAAAAGTGTTAGAAAGCAAAGTTTCTGAGCTATTCAGTATCATACCAACCATTTTTCGGGTTCACCATTTGTATATAGCTGCCTATAGAAATAGAAATTCATTCTTTAATCCTTCTAGGACACATTCAAAATTGACTATTTCTTTCATTGCCGATAACCAATAACATCATCTAGTATGTTGATGACTACTATCATACACATTTCATTTCGAAAACAAGAAAAAAAAAATAAGTATTATCAGCGAAGGCTTTCACAGAGTTATCAAAAGTTCTTGAAATAGTTTCCAAAAAACGAACCAACATTTAAAGAAAAACGATGAGCTCTTCATAGCACATGTGAATATCGTTGTCACCAATTCATGAAGCGATTATGCAGCTGCCATATTTAGATATGGCAATGGTACTTTTGAAATTCAAAGAACGTATCCAACGGGTTCATCTCCATACTTTGTGACTGTTGGTGATTTCAACAATGATACCTTACGAGATATTATTGTCGCCAATCAGGATAGCAATGATGTGAGCATCCTACTTGAATATGAAGATGGTTCTTTTCGAAATAAAATACTATATTCGACGGGCTCTCATCCATATGATGTAGCTCTTAGTGATTTCAATAATGACAAGCAGCTAGATATTGTCGTTGCCAGTCGGCGTGACAATAGCATGGGTGTTGTTCTTGGATATGGTAGCGGGCTTTTGCAAACGAAATCAGGTATTCAATTGGCTCTTCATCGTATTCCCTTACTGTTGGTGATTTCAACAAGAACACTCTCTTAGATCTCGTTATCACCAGTTGGACTAGTAGTGATGTAAATGGACATTTTGAATCTATCAATATCGGATTTGTAAACCACAGTGCACTTACAACAGGCATTGGTCACGATCAAAAGCGATTGTGCTTGATGATTTTAACAATCAACAAGCAAATGGATATTGCTGTTGTTAATATGGGCTCTTGTTTTGGATATGGTAATTTATCTCTTTTCAGTCCAGTAATACTGTCAACTGGTTCTAGACCAACATCCATAACTGTCGGTTATTTCAATAACTATAGCAGATTGGATATCGTCGTCACTGACTATGTCTCTGGGAGTGTTGATATTTTTCTCGGCTATGATAATGGTTCTTACACAACTCCAACGCGATATTCAGTTGGAATTAGTTCGTTGTCATAGTCTGTAGCTGTTGCTGATTTTAATAGCGACCGCAAAATAGATATCATTGTTGTGAATTAAGGCACTAATAATTTGCGTCTATTTCTCGGATATGGGGATGGTACATTTACAAATATGGCTCCATTTTCGATGGGGTACGAATTCAGTTCAGCTTCTGTTCTCGTTAGCGATTTCAACGATGGCAGATGATACCACTGACAGTTGAACAGCTCTCTTACAGACTTGTTAACTTGCAATGCTTGTTCTTTGCGTATTTTTCATGTTTGAGTTAACTATTATTGTCATATAAAATATAATTCTTCTTGTAGTCTGCTTGCATATAACCTGAGCAATCATTTCATATCAACAATGACTAATCAGCTGTATCTTTCATCGAACTTTGACGTCACACGCACAAACCCTCAAAATCGTGAAATTGATGTTGATTGTAGCATTCGAAAACTTTGAAAAACATACGAATTATTTGAACACGCTAGTAAATAAATAAAAACAAGGCATATCGTATTGAAATTTTTATATTTATTAATGATGTTGTTTTTATTTTCATCTAGATCCAACGTATATGTTGGTTATCGAAGTATCTATTCAAAATCTCGACCTAGAAAATCGCGTTGCACAAGATAAAAAAGAAAACAACTTGAATTGTCACTTGGAATGCAAAACTATCGATCACGAGAAATCAAAGTAGCTATCAGTTTAAAAAATGCATTAATTTGTCCAAGGTGAATATTATCATATGTATAAGATAAAGTACTAAAATGTCGAAAATTATAAACTCCAGCAAACCCGTGATAAAAACCTTTTCCTAAGGTTTGATCAGTAGAATGCAACATAGTACTTGCACACAAATTATGACAGTGTTGCTTGCCTTGGCATTATCTTTCATCGTGTGATGAAGCAAATACATTTTAGTTTACTTACAAACAAATATAGATTAATCCCGATTAGACAAGATCTTTTACGTGATATTTAATACTAGTTTAAAATGATCTCGAGTTTTTCTTATGCGAATAGTTTGGATCAAGACGTTTGATAAGACCGATGAAAATCAATGATTTGAAATATAATAATTTAATCTTCTATTTTTGTATTTTATTGATTTGCAGTAAACTAAAATAAATCAAATTCAATCGAAAGAAAAAGAAAATCTATGAGGTTGGGTTTGAATCTATAGAAAATCGTTGAATTCGATGATTCCAACAATCGGCAACATACAGATTTCCGTGGCGATCAAATGCTATTCCTTTCGGCTCATTAAGTTGATTCGATTGTTGACCTTGACCGTTTCCACCAACGATAAGAGTTCCTTGGTCAGAATCTTTTGCCCAACGAACTACTCGATGATTTCCACGATCTGCTATGTATAAATTCGACAATTGATCGACAAGAATTCCACAAGGGCTTGATAAATGCGCTAAAGTATTTCCTTGACCTTCACCTCCAGCTATCATAATTCCTTCTTGTGCATTCTGTGGCCATTTCATTACGCGATGATTATCTCTATCCGCAACATAAACAGACTGTTCGCGATCGACAAAAAGAAAAGTTGGCGAACTCAATTGATCGAGACGATCACCTTTTCCATTTCCACCAGCTACAATTGTTCCCTGAGTGTCTCCGATTTTCCAACGTTTAACAAAACATTGCCGAATATCAGAAACATATATGAATCCATCTTGATCAGTCGTTAAACAAGCGCAGTCAATGTTGGGAATTATTGTTTGTCCACTCGTTCCACCTCGATAAGGCCATTTAAGTACACGTCGATTTCGTTTATCACAAATAATAAAAGAATCTTTTTCTTTATCAAGAATAACATCGGTTGGACCATCTAATTGATCAGTTCGATTTCCTTGGCCATTTTCACCGGCACTAACAAGTCCACTAGAAGAATCAAATTTCCACTCTACAATACGATTATTATTGAAATCAGCGATGTATACAGTTAAATTATCATCAACAAAGAATCCATTTGGGCAATGCAATTGATTAAATCCACTCCCTTTTCGATATCCACCAGCGACCGTCAGACCATTCTGTGTCCATTTCGTTGTAAGAGTAATCGTAGTAGAAGGGCTTGGTACTAAAATAAAAATTTTACTTTATTACATCCATAGACTATTTTCATGTTGCGGACAAGAACACGAAAAAAACATCTAGCTTCTATGAGATATAGTGAATCTATGGAGAATTCTGTCATAATAGCTTTAAAAAAACAAGGAATCTTACGAAAATGACTGATGATATCTTCATATTGATGCATGTATTCGTTTTCGTCACTAAAGGCTAGCATTTTTGTCATAGTATCGATGTTTTCTACAGTGGATTCCTCGAATTTAGTACTTTAGCGTTCTGATTTTGAATTTTTTGAGTATAGACAGTTGACAAATGGAAGGTTTTTTCGAAACCATTTCTTAGCTTTTTATCTTATACACTATCTATTTTTGCGAATATTTAAAATCTTAATACGCATTGAATGATGAACCTGGCAGACCTCCTCGTTTCAATTGTTTATCTCAAAAAGAAAATCTGTCGATTTAGAAACGAAAATCGATGCATTGTTTCTACACATAGCTGAAGTGCTTCAAATTCAAAAACGCATTAGAAGTGACTTACGCTAATAGGAAGAACTTTTAATGTTAAATCAAATCGATTTACGATCATAGTTTTTAATCGAGCAATGATGAAGACTTTGTTTCTTATGCAAAACAGAGTTGAAATCGAAGTCATGGTATATTAATTTTAATTTCATTAGGAAACTATCCAATAGAATTGATTTATATTATAAGGTTAAGTAAAAGTAACGCTTACAGATAAGATTTCTACAGAAGATAAAATAATAACTCACATATTAGTTGTTGCTTTTGTACATAGATAAGGTTATTCCAATTGATTTTACTATTTTCTATGAGAACAATATTTGATTTATCTTGTCCAGTAAGTTGTCTAAGTGATTGTTGCATCTTATTTAATTTGTGTTTTAATAATTGAATATCATTTTCAGCAAAACTATTTTCTTCTCGTTGAAAACGAATTTGTTTTGTTAAATTGGCAAATTGTTCTTTGAAAATTTCTTTTTCATAATTAAGCATTTTATTAAGTTTTTGTCGAGCACTGTCAGCTGCTTTATGTATTTTATCAATTGTTGTTGCTTCCCATCGATTTATTTGAGTAAACAGTTCATTTGAAGAATCATTTATTTGTTTCATTCGAGAAAGAAGTTCATCATGAAATCTCATGATATCATGATCGAATCGGTTTGATAATTGTTGACGATGTTCATTGAAATCTTTTAAACAAAATACAGTTTTGCAACCTCCACAAATACACATCGATCCAGTTTTTTGGCAAACTGAACATCGACTTATACCGAATTCCATCGTCATTTCTATCTAAATCAAAAACATTAGCAATTGAAGAAAATTGCAGCATGCTTACTTTTTATCTGAACAATGATCAATGAAAACTAATGTTACGATCGTTTGTTTCTATGTACATCAATTTGCTGTTCTTTTACATTCACTAATAGTTGCCGAACAGAAACTTCGATAATGATGCTTTCTGTTTTATTTTCGGTCTTTTTTTGAAACAATTTTATTCAAGTGAATTTGTTTCACCTCCAAAAGAAACGAAAATTTTTCTTGATGAGATTAATTCTTACTATATTCAATGTTTCAAAACTACAACTTTTTTCCACGCCTTTTAAATCAATCAATAAACTACATTGAATTCTATTCTGTACGCACAAATTCGCATTTTGGTTCGGTTATAAAGCCATATATTTTCGATTTGATTTAGTATTGTTTCTGAATCGATAAAAAATTCTCATGTTATAAATGCTTTGTAGAGTTTAAAGGAAACGTTTTGATAATTTATTCTGATTTTCTGTTGAAAAGTCACAAGTAATCGTTATGAAGCACATCCAATTCAGCGAAGACTGAGATTTCTATTTACACCTGAAAATCTATTTTATCTTCTGGCTGGTAAACAACGGCGAATGGGAATGAACCCTTACGATTTCTATCTGAATCTATTTTAAGGATGATAACACATGTAAAAGAGAGCCACCGTTACTTAACCAATTACTAAGGATTTCTATGAAATCGAATTAAAAACAAATTTGCCTAATATTTCAATCTGTGATTAAATAAAAATCTTTTTTTTTTATTTAGATTAAAATGTAAATCATTACTAAAATAAATTTTAAATTTTATCATTGAAAAAATGATTTCATTTGTTAATAGAGATTGACCTATTTAATCAAATCAAAAACCTGCACGACAAATATTCAATAGTTTTTCGAAGTTTACATTAATACTTTTAACAGTTACATCCTACCTAGTAAATGTTCTGTTTTATTTAAAAAAATGCAGACACGCCAATTAGTTCTATTCCAAAATAATAATCGAAGTCGAATTTTCATTAAAACTCGATAAAATTTAAATGATCTTCGACTGCGTGTAGCTGACGAACCGAATGGTTTTGTTCGCAAAATTTTTGTTTGTACAAATATTTCTCAAGCCTATTATTTAGATTTAATAGATTAGAATATTGATTGTAATTATGGCAATATATTTTGTTTTTGTTTTATGAAATGCGATTCATTAGAGAAATCTTCTTTGTTTTCAACTCGCATTTGTTTCTAGAGAAAGAAAGTCGTTCGTCTCCTTGTTGTGGAAGGACAAGTATGATTTTGAATAGGATTATTGGAGGCATTCGTTTCTATTCCTATTTGCCTTAACACAAAAAAAAACGAATCAGTGATCCGTGATATCGTTTTTACTATCAATGTTCATCTGATTCTTGTCTTTTCTTTCGTTTACAATGCAAACAAAAAGAAAACATGTGACATGTCGGGGTCGAGACATATGAATAGAACGAAAATTTAATCTTTCGTGTACCATGCTATATATCTCTCCTTCGATAAACAAATCTGTTTCATTTTAACTTTTAGATTCTCTTCTATTCACATCGAAATATGTCGTCAACCAAACACACTCGTCGTATTATCTCCACAACTGCAGGCGGACGTTCAAAAGCACCTTATAGGTAAATAAGAAAACGAGAGTATCCTCAAAAAATTGTTCACTCTAATAATAATTAACTATTCCATTTAGTCAAGCAGTTCAAATTGATCAAACGCTTTATTTAAGCGGCGCTATTGGACTTGATCCAAGCACAGGAAAACTTGCCGGTGATACTGTTCAAGAGCAAACTCGTCAGGTAAAATCTATTTTCAAAATCAAACGCTAGATAGATCATTAGCTATTTTCTCTATTTGGAAGAAAATACATCATATGTATTGATACTATTAAAGTTCTGCATTAGTACGTCATGCGAATTATTTAAGACTCGAATTAGACCGAAGACGACAGAATATTAAGATTTGAATAATATCAGTTGACCGAAATTTATAATATTTATCGGTTAAAGAACGGAAATATACTGGAAAGTGTTTTTTTTTGAAGATTACGATGTCAGTAAGAAATTAAATTCAAAAATTTGAAAAGTTTTATGTATTCAATAGGTATAAAATCTGGGTCAAGACCAACACTCACATTGATGAGTCATATGTGAAACCATTCATTAACATATCTCGTAATCCGCCACTTGTTTTTACTTCAAATGAAATGCTATTAAAAATATGTTAAAACCAAATGCATATCTGTAGTAGCTATAATATGTGTTTGTTTTATTTTCAACACAGGATATCATTAGATTTTGTTAACAAAAGAGATCAATAATTTTCTAAATCTCCGAAAAAATGCTTTTCCCTAAAGTAATTAAAGCCTTCTTCGGCTTTATGTTTGTGATTTAAAAAATAAATATAGAAAATTACGAGTTCGTTCGTGTGTAAAGAGATTATATATATTTGTGAATAAAACGTAGCTACTATAACTTGCTTTTTATATCAATTAATTGTAGGCACTCAAAAACGTAGGAGAAGTACTTAAAGCCGCTGGCGCTTCATACCACAACGGTGAGTAAATAGCGAGGCTTGACAAGCTAGAATTAACGATTCGTTTAATTTAGTGGTCAAAGTCAATGTATTTCTTCAGGATATGAATGATTTTTCGGCTATGAATGAAATCTACGCTGAAGGTATCTTATATATTTTTATTAAGAATTTAACAATCATTTTATTTATTATTTCTAGTATTTTCTGAACGTTATCCAGCTCGATCAACAGTTCAAGTGGCTGGTCTTCCATGGGTAAAAACTCAAGAAATGATTTATTTCTAAAATAATTAATTTAATATTTAGAATGCAAAGGTTGAAATCGAAGGAATAGCCGTCATGGGTGATATTGAAGAACAATAATTTTTTGTTTGATTCTTGTAGTAGATTTTTTTTATTCGATTTAACCATTTTTACAGGTCAAAGATGAAGTTATGTTAGAGATGCATAGAAAAAAAAAACTTCTAGTAGAAGTCAAAATGTTTTACTTTAAGCATCTACGTATTTATAATTGGATGGATTTCGCCTGTAATTTGATGTTGTATGTTTTTTTTACAAAGCCTGCCGCTTAACGGCGATAAATTCATTTGAAAAGGCTTCTCTCACTTAAAACATTTATTATTTCTTACTGAAGATCACATTCGAAGTGAAACAAAGACATTTTTCGGTCAAGCAATTTGATGACTCTTACCAAACTAATTTCACAGTTAACATGGATTACTGTCCCTTATGAAGCTCGTAAAACCGTTTATTTATCCAGACAGAAGGACATTCTCACTGTGCCATTCGGTACTTTTCAGAGAAGAATCAACATAATAATACGGTTGATGAATTTATTTCAGCTGATCGATAGAATTCGCTAAAAACAAAGAATCACTTATCAATGTCGAGAAATTATTTGTTTCCAAGGATTCGCTAAAGGTTCTCCGACAAATGCACCTTGAAACGTTTGCAACACACTTTTCCAATACGCTTCGATAAGTGTCTCTCCTTTAGTATAACGGGAAATCATAATTGAAGGATCAGGGAATTTTTGTGAATAGGCGCACGGCTCACTGACAGTTCCGAATGTTCCTGTAGCACCACCAGCGATAAAATGAAGTGCAGACATTTGATAAGAATCGGTGAGCATTCCTCCGTAGGATGTCAAATGATCTGCTACAGCACCTGGTGGGTATGTGTTCATACCAATATGGTTGACGGCTTGCAATCCTTGAAAATAGAAAAGGGCATCTGTTGTTCCTGAAATCCAATCAGCATTCTTGATTTGTACATCTACATAGGGACTTAAATATTTTCCCAAATTACTAGCAGGAAAGATTCTCGCTCGAAGACTTCTCGTTGCATCAGTAGTATTCATTATATATGCAGAGCCATGTGGCTGAGTTCCATCAGAAGCGATTCCTCGATCAACCAACTGTTTGGCTTGTTCCAGACTGAGTGCTGCCAGCATCATCGCTGGACGCATCTTGAAGTCTGTAAACGGGTGAGTCGAATTGGATCCATAATATGGCGATGAAGTGGCCCACGAACATGTATTTTTAATACAAGGAGCATCCATGAAGCCTAGGGCCAATGCTGACGTGATTGAGTTGCATTCAACGCGCGATGGTATTGTCCATGCAATTGCAACTGCCTGTACAGTTTCAGGCAACATTAAATCAACTTGGGTCTTCAAAAGTTGAAAGGCTGCTCGACTAATCTCCGGTACTTTTGAGATATTCAAATGAACAATATTCTCAGAAGGAATGTTACGACGTGTTCGATAGTACTCGCCAAGAACAACACTGTCAGGATCGTTGTCATTAATAAGAAGGCCAAGTTGTCGAGCTTGAATACCACTCCGCTCAGGAAGTGTTATAGTTATCTGTGGTGTTTTTTGTGTAGGTCCCGCTTCGGGAACTGTAAGAACCGTAAAATGATAAGTAGCACCATTCTCGAGCCCTTTAACAGTAAATGAAGCGGCTGCAGATTTTACTACTCTTGCCGAAGTTCTAAAATTTCTGCCATAGTTAATTAAATAGCCTGTTGCTCCTGGCACTTCGTTCCAACTTAAGTAGACATTGCCATCACCGGGTACTACGTTGGAAATTGAGAACTTTGTTGATGGTAACGTACCTAAATTAGAAAACGTTCCATCTAAAGTTCTCACATAGATAAGTAGGCAGCTGCCCTAAACACGAAACTTACTTCACACCATTTACTTCTTGTGGTATACATTTTTCAAGAAAATATTTTAATTGTCAAGATTCTTTTATTATAATTTATTTTGCTTTATAAAGTTAATAAAAATGAACAAGTTTTGAAGAAAAATGGCAGATCTACCTCCTAATGATAACTATTAACTATAGCAGCTCTTAAATAATCATGATCATGTCTAGCAAAGTCACAATTCATGTCTATCCAATTAATGCAGTAAATCTTAGACATTTTCGTTTTAGTTATTCAGTACAGATTTAGAACAAAATATGAGCGTTTTTCTTGCCTTCTCTGGCACTTTCATTTGCAGGAACCGTCGAAACGAAGTGAAATACATAAACTATAATAATTAAGTATTTCATTGTGTCAATCTCAAGAAAAATAAAGAATGGTATCAAAAAGTAACTAAACTATTCTACCGGAGTAGTAGGTATTTCAAGTTGATTGCAAATTTTTTGTCAAATATTGCGAAAGCTTTCAGAGCTTAAGCCAAATAATCTCCATAAATTGATAAAAATAATCAATATTCTATTTTTGCAAGAAAAAAGTTGATCCGTATTCCCTCCTGTATAACACCGATAGTGATATAAGCAAACAAAATGAAGAAATAAATGTGGGATTTTATACAGCGAGATATGGTAAAAATCAGATAAAATATCAAATCATGATGTTGATAGCAACGTTAAAAGTTGAAAGCGACTATATGTTATTGTAGGCATCATATTAATGCCAAAACTCATAAAAAGACAGTGCCAGACTATTTTATATCGACTCACATATAGCTTAAATAGGTGGACATTTTGAAGGGTTTGCGTAGCTTAAGTTTGTATAGAGAATTGCAGAAATTGTTATTTAGCGTCATCTCTCTGTCTTCAGTTTAGATTATTAAGACGCTCTCTACCAATCAATGTTAATATCTCAAGTGCAAAACTTGAGATAAGCAATTCAAAAATTGAAGATGCACTAGTTGTTAGAATAAAAACACAGAATCCGTCCGAATGGATCAATCTTTTCAATCATTAACTTACCGTCTAGCGATTAACTCAGATTATGAGTCGATCTCACAATTGGTCAATGAAGCTTATCGCGGTGAGTCGTCGCGCCAGGGTTGGACTAACGAAGACGAATTTTTTGAAGGTCAGAGAATCAACCCTGACATATTGACACAAATGATGGCCACTGATGGTTCAGTCGTTTTGATATTTTTCGAACAAGACTCAAAGATTTTAATCGGCTGTGTCTCATTGCAAGATTTCACAATAGCTGAGAATATTCGTATTGGTTGTTGCATTCCTTTGCAACATGATAACAAAGTCAAAAGCGCTTACCTTGCAATGTTAACTGTACGTCCAGATCTACAAAGACGTGGCTACGGAAAGTTCATCATATCAGTAGCTGAGAAATTCGTTCGTCAGCAATGGAACATTCAATTAATTGAATTGAGTGTTCTTTCCAAGCGGCAGGAATTAATCGCATACTACATTCGTCGCGGATATACCGATACTGGTCGACGCCAACAATTTTCCAGTCATGACAATCGATTTGGTATTCCAAAGACAGATTGTTTGGAATATTGCATTTTGACGAAGTTTATCTAAACTCTAATAAATTGAATTGCTAAAGTCTTGGTAGAAGATATAGCTACTAGGTATCAGAGATGTCCACAGGGAAAATTTTTGCACCCTGTCTTGCCCTGTCAGTTTTCAGCAGGGCAGTGCAGGGCACCCTGCTGAATTGAAATAGTGTCTGTGTTGTAATTTTTGATATATTTCAAAATAGAAAGACATGTTTCTCATTGTACCATAGAACAATTTTTTGTTTTAGAGTCAGTTCAGACAAGTCACGATGGCCCCTGCTTAATTAGAGGTGGTCGATTTAATCGATACTTTTATGATGATAGAT